TTGTAACAACATTTATATATTAATTGACATGTTAAATTGATATTAGTCACGATTTGATTAATCAAGCAAACAACAAATATAGATTTTCCTGCATGTAATAAGAATCTCGTCATTGTAGCTTCTATGTTTAATTAGTGAGGCTTTGCCCAATTCACGCAGTTTGATAGTTTGCAGTTTCATTTTTCAGTGGTTTAAAAAGAAGTGCGCGCTTCTTCCACAGCCCGAATTTTTGCAATATTTCACTAAATATTTACTCAGCAATCGTCAACGTTTAAAGCAGTGTGTGTGTTTATTATTCTTTAAAACATTCAACTTTCCATTTAAGTGAATAGAAGATTGCGATCATTTCTAAAACTAAAAATAAAGTTAAATATTTGAGAAGTCGGGCTCAACATAATGCATCATTAACCACATAGGAACTATTGCAGTGAGATAAGCTAAGCTATTTAGGTGGCAATTTTAACATGACAACAATAAGTATCAGGTATGTAACGTGTTACCGCAATGTTAAATGGTGTCGCCCCAACAATTTTTTAATAAGTAAGTTAATAGCGAATAAGAATCTAAATATTGATAAGGAAAATCGTACCCAACGTATCAATTTATCTGATTTTATTGTGGCAGTAGCTCTGGGTGTGTAATAAATTAACGCACAAAACAGGGTTTTCAACTGTTCAGTACAGGGCAAGGTACTTTACAGTTCACATAGTGAGAATAAAAATAAAACAAAGTAACTGTATTAATAATTGTTATAGTGTCGATTGGAGCATTTACCACAGCCCAGCGTAATTTATACAATTAGTTTCATGCATTTTTTGCCGTATGGTTTAAGTTAGTGCTACAAAGTGACACCTTATGGTTTTAACAAATCCAATGGAGCACGGATGAAATTCCTGTTCGAGCAATAAAAATGCGATTCCTAACGGCACATGTTAATGTTTCGCGTTTCTTTTCTTGCTTCAAAACAGATTTGTGTAATTATTTGGTTGGAAGATTTATCTACGGTGCCAATTTGCTTTATATGGTCAATGTTGGCCTCAAACTAACATTTGCCTTTTTCGTATTCACACGCATTTTGTGTTAAAAAAACGCCTGTAGAAGCATGCACGCTAGACGCTTCAGATTCGAAATAATCGACATTCTTGGTCAATTTTAAACAGTTTTTGAGCGTTCACGATTTATTCTTTTAAATAGGTGTGCATTTTGGGAGCTTCTTAGGCTTCTCTACAATCGACTGAGCTCAAAAAACGCGAATGAGAAATTTTGATTTCTGATCGAAAATTTCTAAATGATAGAGGACAATTTTTTCAAAAAAAAATTCAAGTGTCTCAAAATACCTCAAATTCGATATCATTTTCATCTGAAGGGAGCTAGGAATGCAAATATCTCAATAAAAACACCCATAATCGATAGTTTGAGTGTGAAGACTGACGATTTATTACTTATTATAATCTCTAATCTTTAGATATGTATTTTAGGGAGCTCGTTAGGTCGTAAGCAATAGGTTGAGCTCAAAAAGCGCAGATGAAAAATTTCGATGTTCTTTTAAGGGCTACCCCTTCTTTTATAAGGTGGATTGTTTTCATAAAATATCAAGTGTCTCAAAATTCCTTGAGTTCTACTTCAATTTTTCATCATTCAGATCTCAAAGGAGTGAGAAATGCAACGAACTCATTGAAAATCATGCTGACAGCTTCAGTTTAGAAATAATCGATATTCGGTTCATTTTGAGTTGTTTTTGAACGGTTGCGATTTTTAACCGACAATATTTTTCTTATTATAGATCCTATTATAACTCTTCGTAGATGCACATTAAGGAACTTGTCACGTCGAAAGAAGTTGATGGAGCTCAAAAAACACGCATGTAAACTTTTCATTTTTGATCGAAATTTTTCTAAGGATGGAGGTCGATTTTTTGAAATTTGATCAAAACAATTTGATCAAAATCGCCTGAATTCTACATCATTTTCGTCTCACGCAAGCCAGAAATGCGACAAACTCATTGAAAAACATGCTGGAAGCTTCAGTTTAGAAATAATCGAAATTCTCTGTTCATTTTGAGTAGTTTTTGAACGGTCGAGATTTTTAACCGACAATATTTTGCTTCTTATAGATCGAAACACTTTATATGTGCACATTGGAGAGCTTCTTACGTTGAAAGGAGTCGATACAGCCGAAAAAGCACGCATGGCAAATTTTTATCTTTGATCGATATTTTTCTAAGGATGATGGGGTGTCCATTTTTTTTTAATATATCAATTTTCTCAAAATGCTGACAATTCTACATTATTTTCACCTCAACGAAACGAGAAATGCAACAAAATCATTGAAAAAAATGCTGGAAGCTTCAGTTTAGAAATAATCGATATTCTCTGTTCATCTTGAGTCATTTTTGAACTGTCGCGATTCTTAATGTACAATATTTTGCTTATTATAGACCTGAACACTATATGTGCACATTGGAGAGCTTCTTACGTCGAAAGGAATTAATAGAGCTCAAAAACACGCATGCCAATTTTTTATTTTTAATCGAAAATTTTTTAGGATGATGGGGTGATGATTTTTTGAAAATTTATCAATTTTGTCAAAATGCTTTGAAGTCAACATCATTTTCATCTCAAGGAACCGAGGAATGGAAAACAGTTGTTGCAAATGGCGCTAAAAGGTTCAGATCCGAAATAATCAACATTTTAAACGGCTTTTGAGTGGTTTGGATCTTTAACCGACGATATCTTCTTTATTATATCCTTAAACACTCCAGATATGCATATTGAAGAATCTGTAAGGCTAAAGCCTAAAGCTATGCATTGAGAATAAACACACCTGTAAAAAGTTGTTTTTGGTCGAAATAACACTTTTTCGGAAAAATATAAGCTGCTTAAATGGCTCTGTATACCATTTCCGTAGAAATCGAAAAAGTCAATAAGCTCAGGAATTGGCACTCTTCTTTCCATTCTGATCCGCAATGATCTCTACTTATGGTCCATTTTAGAGGTTTTGGGTCTTTACCCGCGGCTATCTGCCTCATTAATGATCTTCCCTAGCGGAAAACAATATTCCAAGCTCAAAAAATTCACATGTTCTAATTTAAATTTTACCAGAACCCTCCTCCATATAAACTGACGACTACACAAGTTTTTTATTGAGATTAAGAACTATATAAACTTAAACCGTTTGATTTTCTTTGGCCCACCGTGAATAACAAATATTAGATTTTTTGGCCGCTCGACCTTCTTTAGGATTGAATCTTTCAAAAAAGCTTTCGCAAGGTCAGTGAAGCATCTCGAAATATGCTTGTTGGCGAGATAAAGATTTCAGCTAAAATAGGTTGTTTTTTGCACATAACCCAGTAAGAATCTGACCTCAATGTCTTGGTTGTCTTTTGATTTATTGTACAATCCGTCCTTGGAAAAGAACTGTTACCACGACGAATTTTTCTGACAACCTTGCGGTAATTTTTGGTGACATTTTTATTTTAGACACTTTATACGTGATACTGCTGTTGATAATTCATGACAAACGTTAGGTAATTAGCCATTAAACCCCAGGAAACAATGATTTCCGGTGTAAATACTCGAGATGGAACAATTTTAATAATCGCTTTTAATATCGTTTTTGCTTATGAATTTATATGGTTCTTTCTCTAACTGGACTTCTGCCGCTGTCATCAGCATCTGGCTGCTGTTACAAAAAACGTAAAATAAATTCCGTAAAATACCGTTGGTTATCGTGGTTCAGGTGTGGGTGCAGTATTGCGTCACTACATATTTTAACATCAAAAGATAATCTACTTGACTTGACAAATGGATTTTGCTCTTAACATTGAATGCGCAAAATAAATTACCAAAAGGCTAGTGTCTATTGGTCCGATAAGCTAAAACATTTAGCCTAACCAGATTATTTGTGATAATAATAACAAGTATATTAATCACTGATCGAAATAGGATGGCAAAATACATATACCGGGATGGCATGAAAAGTTAATCGAAGTTACTCACTCAACTAAAAGAGTATTACGGACAACAATAAAATTCCATCAATCTTTGTAAGCAACAGCTATTAAGCACTTCAATTAATTTTATGTTTGAATGTAACTACTGTTCTCGCCTTCAGCCTTCAAGCACATTTAACTACAAATTGATATGTCTAGGATTATATAAAATATCGTAATCACGCAAACTGCACGTTATGTATGATGCTATACTTTTTGAATCATCCGTGTGGTTTTATTTGAACAATTATAATATCAATCGATATATTTCGTCAAAACAAGGCATTCGTTTTAACGACGGATTTTTATATATTTTAAGTCATATCTCCGACAATCTGCTAATAAAGGTGCAGCTAATACATTTCGCTTTATTTGCAACAATTTTAGCCAATTGCAGTTATTACAATTATAAGTCGCCTAAAGCATTGCTCGCGGGTGTTGTTGCGCGTGTTGTGTTCAATAATAATATAAGGATAGTGAACATACTGAATCTAGCAGATGTTAATAGACAATTGGTGAGCTTGAGAAATTATAATTAGCAATTTTTTGGAAAATACAATCTTGTTAACTTTCGTAACAACATCCACACACGAAAAAATGCACGGTCAATCCCACACTTAGTGGTTCTCAGAAAATGACATGGTTGCAAAACCATATTTATTTATTGCTTTTTTCTAAGCGCTAGCAGTATAAAACCTTATTTGTATGTGTTGTAAATGCACAATAAAAAGGCAACTCTTTATGTGAAAAAAACGACAATTATTGACCTCCAACTTTAAAACAAATGTTTCCTATTATTCACCACTAGACTTCATGATATAATTTGAGGTCATCTATAAATTAGCAAATAGTGCACAATAATTGTTTTTTGTCTATTGTCAAAGCATATAATCGTTAAAATAATCAATAACTAATTAAACTAATATGCTTATTTATTTGCCTGTCAATATTATATGATTAATGCTGATCTATGGCGATTAAAGTTTGTTAAAACATTTATTGTTTGCAGATAAACAAATCCCTATGGAAATTCCTCCAAGCGATTCCCGGCAACCTCCCGATGGCCATGAGTTTCCTGATTTCGTAGAAACATCCGGGAAGACTGCCATATTTGACAACTATAGCCCGAAACCGAAAGAATATACTGCAAGCTTTCGGTCAACTTGGAGTCAACCTGTGATAAAGCCCCTGGACCGATCCATCAGTAGCTCAAACTACGATTTGAGAGACAAAATGATCGACTCGGATGAAGAGAAATATGAACCGGTGGAAAAATCGAATTTACTTCACACTCGATCGCAGAGTCTGATAGATATGAGTGTGTTTTCAAAAGAAAAAAGTTCCAGCAAATGGAACACTCTAATGGAACAGCGCAAAAGTAGATTGTCTAAACTTAAGGGACTGGTCATTCCTGAAGCTGCCGAAAATGATATCACACCCCTTTTGAATATCCCTGAGATCAAGAGCATTACGACGTCACAAATCGATCTTAGCTTAAAAGTGGAAAATAATGTGAATGAAATATACAAACCAATACCTCCTCCTGCCATATCACCCGTAGTGCTGCCATCCTGGTCTTCCAATTCGAGCTTACCAAAATATTCCCCAGCATTTAAGCGAAAAAGTTTTCAAGTATACCCGGTCAGTAATGTGAAAAAGAGCGACAGCAGTGATGCAGAGAGTAGCTACGATGAGTATTATCACAAATACAATGAAAGCACCTCATCACGAATTACTGATGATCCCAAGTCCCTGGAAAGCATTTCTTCTCCAACTCGGTCTGATTATAGCTTTGACTACACCAGTCTGAAGACAATGTCGATTAGAGACAGTCATATTCATAACTCGAAAGACTTTCCTGATAGCGACAACGATTCCGCAGTTAGTTCCAGTCAGTCCAGCTACAACTCGAGAAGCTCTCCTCCGCTATCTCCAACTTCCGAAGATAAACTGAATGGCCAAAACAGACTGTTAAAACCCTCAAGCGTGGAAGCCATCAATAGAAAAAATATCTTAGCTTCAGCTAAATGTCGAAGTGGTAAAGATATAAAAATTGGTTCACCAGTGATCCAGAGGAAGGGGTCTTTGGAAGAAGACGCCAATGTAAAGCAGAAACTGGAAATAGAAAGCTCTATTTTATCGGAAGCGCCGCTTCCAAACACTGCCTTAGAGGGAACCAACAGCATTGAGGAAGTAGTCTTAAAGCAACAAAACATCGCCATTAAACCCGTGGTTGTTAATGAACCTGTCGTGGTGGAAGTTGGCATTGAACGATTAGTTTCAGTGCCCCCAAAGATTCCAGGTAAGTCTAAGCTAAGAAATTTCTAAGTTATTAGCCTTCATGTTCACATGCGTTTTTATGGCGGAGGGAGAACCAGATTTAAAACAAACAATTAATTATTATTAAGCTAATACCAGTCTATATATAAGAACATAAATTGGTACTAAGAATTGCTTAAGTAGGATTTCGTATTTATAATCCGTAAATGTCTCGATGGTAAGAAGATAACAAACACTCATCTTGAATCCTGAGCTACTTATGGGCTTACAGTATTGGTCAATATTAACTAATAACATATGACTAAACCGTGCTGTTCGATTTAAAACATCTTATTTAAATCTTCTTAGGTACAGAAGCTAAATACATTTGCTGCGTTCAATCAAGAGTTTCACTCCAACAATTTTTGTTTGTAACATTGTGAGGATAAAATTGCTTTTCACATCGTCAATAAAAAACTCAATATACCATTGCAAATCGACACAGAGCACAAGAAGGACTAGAAAGAAAATCATTTTTTTAATCTCAACAGTATCATCAGACAGTTTAGTTCTACCGTCTTGGTTTTTATTATTCATTATGCCGTAAAATGAATCAGTTGCTCGTAATGAATAATCTGCTACTCGTATTGTTAACAGTAAGAATACACAAGTAATTATTTCAACAGCAACGTTACGTAGCTGGTTACTTAATCAAGAAATAGTGCAGAACTTTTTTCTTTGGCCTTTGTCAGATTGTATCGGTCAGTGCACGTTTAGGCTTTCGATTTTGCATGTATCTAAATAGTGATAGTGAAAGAAATTAGTAAGCTTTAAAATTAAGTTGTTGAACTGCTTTTATCGACGCCTGATTCGAATATATAAAATGTTCAATTATGCTTATGCCCGGTACTCTGTGCTGTAATTTTGATGGGTAAATCCAAGCAAGCTTACAAGTCGACTTCTTCAAATCACATACAACCGATAATTTTTCACGCACAAAAAATTTCAATCTGTAGGAGAACTTGAATAACGTAAAAAGCGCAATACGTGAATCGACGCTGCGTCGCAAATTTTACGCAGAGTTCAAATACTCCCTAACTTTTCAGTGTGAATATTTCCTCAATCGGTGATCGGATTTGAACAAGTTTTTTTTATCGCATCATAACTCTATTCCTGTCAGTATTTAAGTACAGGGTGTTTAAATAGTGTCATTTTTTCTTGGTCAAAGTTTCTGCGACAGAAAAAAGTAGACAGTTTTGTCGTCTGTGTCCTTTCCAATACATTTTTGTCCGGCCGAAAATGCGATGGGTGATAAAAAAATGAAAATATCTGTAATGTATCAGGATAAAAAGACGATTGAAGATCCAAATTACTCAGAAGACATGAGCATAGAACTAACGATAACATCGCATACTTTTTCTCTCTGGTCCACCCCATTTGCCCGCAAATATTTCAACTTTGGTCAAGAAAACATGACAATATTTAAACACCCTGTACAATATGTTTATTTAATTTTTTTCTCTACTTCATCTTATAACAAATTTTTCCCAAGAAAAATATTGCTGATTCGATAAAAAATATTCAAATTTATATCTATCATTAGGGAATTTTGCATTAATGTAGTGGTCTCTCCAACAATAAAAAATCACCTTAAATGACTAAGTAGGTACTTAATAGTTGAATTATCAATTTCAGAAAAAAATGTAGATAAACCAATTCCCACCAAAAGAACTCATATTCCCCAAACACCTAAAGAAACAAAGACCGCAAAAGAATTAGCTGAAACACGATATGAAAACTTGGTTCAAAAGCACAGTGCCTACAGTATTTTGGAGAAACGCAACAAACCGGTGAATATTCAAAGTTTGAAAGCAAATTTTGAAAACTCTTCTTGCCAATCGCTGCCAGTATTTCCCAAAAACTATAAATCTGATGGGAAAGCTTCTCCTGCCAGAACCCCGCCGGAATTGGCAAATGGTGAGACGATCATTGCGACCCGACGGAGATCAGAAGACTTTCTTACAACCGCACGAAGAAGATCGGATGATAAGCTGCTCTTCAGGCAAATATCGCAAGAAAAAGTCGAGAAACTTGAAACAAGGAGGCTATCTAGTGGAAATGTAATAAATAGTAGTCCGATAACTCCTAGCCTTATTCCTAAAGAAGAACCAGTAAAAGCCATAAGAGCAACAGTGAAGAAACAAGAAATTGATAGAAACATTCCGCCAGTAGATAAAGCACCTCCATCAACTCCTAATGTGGAACAAAGAACAATTGAACTAAACTTAGATCAACCGGGAGGAAGCTTAGGAATCACCTTGGCTGGAGGTGCTGACTATGAAAGTAAAAACATCACAGTAAGTACATTTTGTAATAAATACTGTCCAACTGAAGAAATGTATGCGCATAATCCATATTGTTATAAAATGATTTAACAATCTACGGGTTTATTTGCATAAACGTAATGAGAACAGGAACGATATATCGAATTTCAATAATATGCATGTCACGATATACTTTATCAAGGGGAACTTGGGTGTTTTCTAGTTATCCCGCAATTATACTAGAACAAATTTTAATGAAAATATCAGCTTCATCCGTAACAATTTTAGATTTATTGAATTATTGAAGTAAGCGGAGAAAACATGTTTATAATCGAATACTAATAAAATATATTGCCTCTGTTGCAAAGGACAAATAAAAAACTTCCATCACAGAAAATATTAATAGCCTGTGACAAGGTTGTATACTACTAATATTATAAAATGTGATTATTAACAAAATCTCATGACTTGTAATTATAAAAAACCACTTAGAATAGGGCATTCGATTTTTACCTGAAATTTTATCATTTGTACGGTTTTATTTCAGATTCACCGAATCAGATACGGAAGCATTGCGTATCAGAATGGTCAATTAAAAAAAGGTGACAAAGTGATTGCAATCAATAATCAGCCAACAGCAGGACTGACTCATTCGGCCGCTACTGAGCTTCTAAAGGTACCTTGGACATTTTATGAATTTATTTAATGGGGTAAAATATACTTTTTTAATTTCAGATGCCAATTTCAAAGTTTTCAATCGTCATTGAAGAGTCTAAGGACTTTGTACCATCGACAAACCTTTCCAGGAGAATTTCATCCTCCGTTAGCTCTCTGACATCAGAAACAAAAGGTATGTACCTATTTAAAAGAGGCACGGTAATGCAATTGCAATTGCAATTGCAATTACTCATCAGGATCTGTTTGACCTTTAGGCCTTATAGGAAAAAAACCACTGCACTAAGAGTACATTTGCATACAAAACTTGTTAGTAAGATTTATTATTTGTATGTTCAGGCCATGAAACAAATTCACTTGCTCCTGTCCAAAACAAGAATCCCACACATACTATTAAAGTTGTCAAGGATGGATCGGGTCTAGGGTTCAGCATTGAAGGAGGCAAAGACTCGCCAAAAGGAGATGTGCCATTAGTCGTGAAGAAAATATTTGCTGGTGAGTATTCTCACATTTATAGGGTGTCCCGTAAGCACGTGATCAAAAGTATACTGCGATATTCTCTGCATCAAAAGAAGACTTTTAACTTAAAGAAGACTTAAAGAAGACTTAAGACTTAAAGAAGACTAACTTTTATTAACAAAAAATGTCTGACTCCTCTGCTAATGATAGTCAAAGTTCTTCAAAAAAATTATCTTTTTTGAAATATCGGGAGAATGGTACGATGTATCTTGGTGAAACTTGCTGTGAATTTGTTCTTATGTAAGACTCATATTTTGATGAAAGAATCGAGTTAAGCCGTTTTGGACAAGTGGTGCATTCTTGAGTGTCGTGGTACAAAAACTACCAGAACTTTTTATTTGGTGGATGATATCAACTCATTTTTTTTTTTTTTGATTGATGCACTAATCATTTATTCACAATTTTGTGCTCTTTGTAAAATCTTGTAATTCATAGTTTTTGCGAAAAAATATTTTTGTTTCCTTGCCACTTAACAATGTTAGACATTAACTGCAAATATCGTGATACGAGGCATAAATTAATTGTCAATCAATCTCACAAATTCGTTTCAATTACCTTTTATAAAGTATTAGGGTTTTGCGAAGACAACTTGAGTGAAAGCGTACGCGTTTACGCGCCGCATATTTGCAGTTAATGTTTAACATTGTTAAGTTGCAAGAAAACAGACATATTTTTTTGCGCAAAAACTATGAATGGTACAAGACTTTACAAAGAGCACAAAATTGTGAATAAATGATTAGTGCATCAACCAAAAAAAATGAGTTGATTCCATCCACCAAATAAAAAGTTCTGGTAGTTTTTGTACCACGACACTCAAGAATTCACCACTTGTCCAAAACGGCTGAACTCGATTGTTTCATCAAAATATGAGTCTTACATAAGAACAAATTCACAGCGAGTTTCACCAAAATGCATCGTATTATTCTCCCGATATTTCAAAAAAGATAATTTTTTTGAAGAACTTTGACTATCAGTAGCAGCGGAGCCAGACATTTTTGTTAAATAAAAGTTAGGACAGATCGTTTTCTTTTGATCCAAAGAATATCGCAGTACCCTTTTGATCATATGCTTACGGGACACCCTGTATTTTCTAAGGAAAAAATAGCATGTGGTTTTATATTGGTAAATAAATTTGTAGTAAATTTGTATCACTTTTTTTCAGGGGGTGCAGCTGATAAATCTGAGGCATTGAAAGTGGGTGACGAAATTCTTTCAGTCAACAAAATTGATTTCCGAAATCTATCTCGCATTGATGCCTGGTCCCAAATGAAGAAAATTCCAGACGGCGAAGTTTCTATTGAAATTTATCGATAAATTGAGTATTTAATATCTTGCCAAAATATGCTTAATTCGCCCAAAATTTACCTATATTTATTATCCTTTACGATTTTTGCCTTATGTTATAATTTATTGATATATTTTATGTTGCATTTTGTACTAAATTATTTATATATTTATGTAGGTGTCTATAATTCATTACTTTTATACCTACCCAGGGAATATATTTTTTATAAAAAAAAAAACAGGTAATTTAGGTACTGTTTACATCTATAGTAAAAGAACTAAAAAAATTGATCATCAGCGTGTCATGTGCATAGTATAATTCCGTTTTGAAACCAAGCAAAAGCTTACCATTTGAAACAGGTACGCGAAAGAGTTGAAGCACATCTTAAGAAATAAGCAGATTTGTGTTAATAAATTCATAATTTAAAGTCCATGCGTTTATAAACCCTGTGTTATTCTCAAGTTGGATCTGGTGTCCTCAATTTTTCGCTTGAAAATCAGGAGAGAAAACGCATTTTGTAGCTAAGCCTAAAATCCAGTTATTTGATTGAAACAGAGAACAGTTGGAGCTAAGGGATTATAGATTAATAGTCCTTCTTAGCAACTGTATTCAAGCTGGTGCCTCATCCCCCATTTTCACCCAATCAATCCTCAAAAAGCACACACTACACTTGAAAACAAAATGAATTTCCACAAAAAGTTGAAAATAAATGTGGATTAAATTCAGAAGTTAACAGAGGCAATATGAGCACCCAATCAGTTGATATTTCCCGTTTATGAACGAAAAGAACTAACAACCGATTTCGTCCGTTGCCCATATTCCCAAGTTCGACTAAATGTTTGTTCAATTTTACGTAAAAATTCATGCGATGTTAAAGTGTTTATCACATTCCATTCCAAGCTACGGGACAAGATGATATAATTGTTTGCTCGACAGCCCTTTGCATGAGTAATCGTTTTACTTTGCAGTTCGAATTCTGTTTATTTATTGTTGACTATTTTGTAGAAAGCCTGTTCGCACGGCAATAGTTTCACGAACAAGTTTTACGTTCCAACTCGTTCGGATGATCGCCGTAAACAAAACAGCTTTATCAATATAAACATAGCCATTCATCGGCAACTTTTGTATGCTAAATTAAATACTTGCTTTCCGATTAATATTTTGCTCAATTTTCAATTGAAGATCTTTTCAGCTTTATATATTGTGAGATGAGCTCCACTTTTGTTCACAGAAACAATGTGTGTGAAAGTCTTCTTCAATTTTTGCATACGACTAAATAAGCAAATTAATACTGATTCAAGCTTTAAAAATAGTTGATCACTAATCGCAATGTAAAACAAGAGAGAGAGGACAGACCGTAATACAATTTCCCTCGCGGCTAGACATAAAAAGTTTGACCTGCATAGTGTAAAAATTGACGATACCGTAGGCACCAAAGTGGTTGAGGGGTCGCATGTCAACGTCAAATTCCAAAATGTACGTCAAAGCTGTATGAATTTTTTATTTCAGTTTAAATGTATTTTGTAATGTTTGTTGTTAAATTACTTGAGGGTTTAAGGATTGTTTGGGATTTCACCTGTATTTAAAGAAACAATGTTAAAATTTGGTTCAAAGCATGACAGCAATATTGTTTACAAATGCACAGTAAGGCTTTTAGAAGATACGGAAATACTTGAATGTGAATTCAGGGTAAGTATTCAATTACTATCGGCATAAAACCATCCGTTCTCATCACCGAATCGTCGGCAGCCCCATGACAAAGGCAATCACTTGCTTGATTATGTATGCCAGCAATTAAATCTTGTGGAGCAGGATTACTTAGGCCTTCGCTATGTGGACAACAATGGTCAGAGAGTGAGTCTCATAATAGAAACTTTGTCATTAATGTGCATGCAAAACCCAGCTACTAATATGTGTGATCCATCAAAACACCCCCTTCATGTAGCGTGTTTTATTTTCCGCTCTAGCACTGGTTGGATTTGGCCAAATCCATCCTCAAACAAGTCAAAGAACTAGAGCCAGTGCTATTTAGTTTTCGTGTGAAGTTTTACCCCCCTGACCCAACCCACCTTAAAGAAGAAATCACCAGATACCAAATGTTTCTTCAGCTAAAACGGGATTTGTTGCATGGCCGTCTGTATTGTGGTGCCAGTGAAGCTGCTATGCTAATGGCCTTAATTGTTCAAGGTGTGTTTAGCATGAATCAATTCTCAAAGAAATACCGTAGATAATAACAGTCTCTTATTTGTCCTACATAGGGGAATTGGGAGATTATGATCCTGAAATTCACGTGGGCCATTATGTTGCCGATCTAAAAGTCCTGCTTAAGCAAACTCAATCAATTGAAGAAAAAGCAATGGAAATTCATCAAAAGCAAATGAAAGGACGTGATCAGTCGCAAGTTGAATACAGTTTTTTAAAATTAGCCTGTCAGCTTGATACTTATGGAGTTGATCCACATCCAGTAAAAGTAAGATTGAAAAAATTGATTAAGGCCTTTTTTTACCAACTTCAAAATAGGGTCTATTGCAGGAGACTAGAGGCACACAACTTTATTTAGGAATTAATCACAGTGGCATACTAACATTCCAAAAAAGTAGAAAATCACACCATTTTAAGTGGCACGATATTCACAAAATCAACTATGAAGGAAAAGTGTTTATTATTCATTTAAACTACAATGATGTAAGTGAATATGATTATATCGGAAACTAGATTATACGGTTCTCTTTTGCTTTTAGAAGAAACATACTGTAGGCTATAAATGCCTCACAGGTGCTGCCTGTAGGCATATATGGAGATGTGCCATGGAGCAAATGCTGTTTTTCACGTAAGTATTCGAATTTTTATTAATCACTTTTTTGGATGTTCGGAAGTTGCATTTATTTTTCTTCGTATTTCATCCGGGCATAATAAACATTTTAATTGAAATGTTTCGCATCAGCATTTCAAGTAAACAACTGTTTTCAACCAGCAAGATGCTGGTATCGAACGGAAGGCGATCAGTGTTAGTAATCACAGCGTTATATCATCTGTATAAAATCATTGCTAACTCATTTTCTGCATGCCAATAAAAGTTCTTAGCAATTTTACTAAATACTTTAAGGCAAGCCCTTAAGATGGTACTTTTTTCAATAGACTTTCTTAATTTGTCTTTTCCTGAGGAAAATCTATCGATTTTGAAGAAGACCAAAAGAATTTGGTTTTTTTTCCAAAACGCCTGAACTTACCGCGGTACCCCTTTTCCCGTTAGCGACTTTCGTCGTTTTCAATAGTTTCTAAGATTTTTTTTGTCGATCGCTCATATTCATCTTCCTTAAACTATGTTTAATATGCGGTTATTTTTAATACTTTTTTAATGGTTTGTGCTAGATTTTCGGGGTTGTTTTGGAGATACATTGTTTCTACAAGAAAGTCCCAAATCAAAAAAACTTTATGAGAAGACTGTGCTGCTTTAAGGCAACCGCACCGCACGTTTATCTCTTCATTATTTTAATAACATAACGTACATATTGGGCGCATTTTATACGTCCAATGCGTATGCATGCGCCTTATCTCATTTAAAAAATATATACATTTTTCATTGGGTTGTCCACTTCAGGCGAGCAAATGTGCGCTTAACTTTAAGCGTTTTCGAAAAAAACTTAATAAACTTTGATTGAAGATGATTATTGCTGCAGGGAAGTCCCAAATCAAAAAGATTGAAGTTAAAAATTGACAATAAGAAACATGAAATTTGCTAAGAACATTTTTACTTTCTAACTACCAACATATTCGCACGCGTTTGCTTTTGTGGTTGCACTAGTTTAAACAATAGTCTTGTGAATATAGTTTACCAACTAGCTCAGATGCTCCATCTGTGGTGTCTGGGGGTGGTTTCTTTTCCTGGGGCACGAAGTTTAAATATACTGGTAGAACCGAGCGCGAGGTTTTAGAAGGTTCTGTATCGCCCAGCCGGCAGGAACCGAATGTTCAAAGAACATCCAGTCTGAGAAGAAAAGCTTCAAGTGTACCTGCAACTCCATCAACTCCTTTACAGCCTCATTTAGGTACATATGATTAGTAGTGGTGGTCTGGATAGATTCGATATCAGATATTTTGAAATACGTAGGACAAATCTCTGATAGTTACATGCTTGGCATAGTATGTGTTTTTTAGGATACAGTAGTTTACCTCGTTCAAGTCATTCTGACGTGGGAGCATCTCGCATGGAAAGTAGTAGTAGTACTGGTCTTTTATCAGGACTAGATGGTAATCCTGTTCAGGGTTATAGTGATGTAGCTGCCTTAGAAACTGTGTGTGAAGATCAGGAAGCAATAACCGCTAAAAAATTACGCACCACAGGTACAAATTCTATTTGCCTCTGTGATAATTTATCTATTTAAATTTTTAAAATCTGTTTATTCCTTGTAGATTTCGGGGTTCTTAAGTACAAGGACGACTCCATCGATAGATTTAGTGATTATTATTTTCGTGATTCATTTGAACATTCCTCTTCAGAATCTCAGCTTATTGATAACAATTATAGATACGATAATACAAACCCATCACATCGTTCTAGCCGCAGTCAAACGCCATTATCGCATTCCCAAGTAGACGGCCGTAGTTGCGGTCCGAAAAATGCCCCAACAGTTCAGAATCAACATGAGAAAGGTGGAAAATTTAAGGTTTTTGGTGCCTTTCTACCAGCTCTCTTAGCTATTACGGTTTTCATATTGGTTTCACTCGTCATATTAGAAACCGATATTCCATTTTTTGGTAGCATCAGAAATATTCCAGAAATCGTTACATTTAGATATCATATATATGATCCCGTTAAATCGTTTTTGCGCGACCTATTTTCATTTCTTTTGAAATATTAGAAAGCGAAAATTCAATAATCGAATGTAATGACAAAGCTTGTTTCCTAAATTATCTTGAAAATTTACCTTTCTCTTCATTTCCTAATTAGGTTGCTTCAAATTTGTTTGATAAAACTCTCAAAAGCATCAGATTTCAAAATTAAATGTAAGTAGATCTTCATATTGTGATATACCAAGTCATTCCAATGGTTTTACGGCGTTAAATTCCAATTCACCCCTGATTATTTGGTAAGAAGTATAGGTGAGGACGCCAAATAAATACGTAATGTTCCAAGATTATTTCGACTCACACGTCCACAACTAGTTGGAAAATTTTTGGTTTTTTACTTGCTTTTGGTAACCTGGAATCGTTCATTGTTTTAAGTACAAATACTCAAGGCGTAACTAGTCTCTCTTAATTTTTTACTAATATTTATATAATTTATTGGTAGTAGCGTTAAATAGACCTGCATATTGGCAAAGCGAGGTTTGCTTCGAGTGTTAGGTTTTTTAAATTTCTTATTGTAAACACCCTGGTTAGTGGGAAGTTCCGAATATTATTCGGGCTATGGTAAGTAAGTTTTATACACATTTTGGCCATTATTGAAGCAATAAAATCATGCTAGTGCTAAAACGTCGTCGATACATTTAAGTGTTTCGGGTAGTATTTGGCTTCGTACATCATGCACAATAAGATAGCATAATACTTAATTGTATGTAGTTTGAGAGTGCCCACCGGTTTAATTATTCCGTTACATTGTGATATCAGTCTAAAATATAACTTTGACGGCAAAATTTTGTTGGATGAGATGAAATTAATAAGTCATACTTCTCTAGAAGCAAATGGTTTCTTACAAAAATTTGAATTTTTTTCATTTGTTCATTAAAAAACTCTTCTCAGATATTCTAATTCAATTATTGCCATTAAACTTACCTAAATCTGAGGTTCCTTAGGGCTTATGTAGATTTTCGTGCACATTTTTCATCGAATTAGGACTTATTTATTACATGTTTAATGGTACGGTCTTCTTTGCAGATGTTTACTCGTGTCATAATATTAATTAGTTGTCATTACAATATTGTTAACACAAAACTGATAGAGAAAATTTTCGTTTAAAGATTTTGTCACATTCACAGCAACAACAATTTTATTACGTAGAAAATAACAAGTTTACGTAGAGAACTTTGTGCTTCCAGTAATAAGCTTGGGTTGTCGATATTTTAATCAGAAAGCTTTTTGTAATTTCTTCTCAATTTCAAATCAGATTATTACAGGAGAGCATTATAGATAAAAACATATTTTATCTGGACATCGAATTTGTAAGTTTTTAAAACAGTTCCGCGTTTAATTTTTGCTGCATTTAGCATGTTAACGTGCGATTTTAATGTGATACATTGGAATTACTTAAAGCAATACTTCTAAAATAATTTTTAATGACTAGTTTTAGTATTTTGGTGTCTTGTCGTCTAAAATAAGGCTGTTTCTATTGGATGTGTAGATAGTTATTTTTATCTGCAGAGATGACCACAGTACTTATAGTTAGTTGGCCAAACTAATAAATTACCCATGAACCAAATTATTAAAAATTAGAGGGAAATTGGTAATCCTTGTACTTGAATTCAAATGGTTATTGGTTCTAAAATACGAATTAGCATAAGGAAAAATTACAAATGAATGATCATTTGAAGTCAGTTCATGGGTTTTGTAGCATCTGTAGTAATCGCGTTTTTGTAATACAGATTTTAGTTGTGTAGTGGTGTGCATGTTCTCGTTTAGAGTTGATTACTTTAATTGAGTTGTAACTAAATTTCTTTATATCAATGCACTGTACTGTAAGGGAGAGAAGGCAGTAAGAACAGAAAGTGTTTTCACATTGCGTCTTTTAAAAATAAATCTGTGATCTTTTTCCAATCTGCTGCTTTAGACCTAGAATAATATATACCCTCCCTTGGAATCGACTCCATAATCAAAATAAAAAAATGTTTACTTGTGTTAAGCTTCAAAGTTTGCAATATGCTTTATTTAACCACATAAGGAAGTTTAAATGAAAATAGTGCAAACTTTTGATCTTTATTTCAATTTATAAAAAACTGTCCCGAGCTTGTAACATAACTTCAGTTCAAAGTATGTTCTTTCCTGCACAATAAACAAAAATACCGGAATGTAATAGTTTACTTTTGTAATAATTTATGGGTCCATAAGTTTCTGCTTCGTAAGGTATTTTTCTTCCTCATTTACTATATTTTATATACTCTCCAAGTAAGTAAAGATGAATATATTAAAATGTTTACATGAAGGCAAAGCCGTGAGGAAGAACAACTGTTATCTTACGAAGTTCAACGACTTTCTTTGAAGAGATCTTATCATAATGTGCGGTAGAATAGGCGAGCAGATGCTGATAAAATCTCTATTGCATTTATTGTTTCTCGCAATACTTAATTTTAGCAAATTAAGAACTGCGTTTTGTAATAATTTTTTACAAATAAAACTTTTGCCAAATACAATTCTAAGTCAATTAAACTGTTGTTTCAATTCATCTACAGTTGGGGTTTCAATGTTGGGCGGCGATAAAACAATATGTAAATATTTTGTTTTATATTAAATGCATTTATAGTAATCATATACAATATAAACTACTGAAAGAACATTTACACCATCTAAACGTGGAAAAGTGTCCAAATGTGGAAAACTAACATACTGAGATAGTTATAAAAACATGTGAATTTCGGGCTTCTCTCAATGCTTAAATAAGATGACAGCTGACAAAACTATAAGATTAACAATACTTCGAATTAGAACAGTATTAAGAAATTTAGAAGAATCAATGTTATATCGCACAGATATTTGGAAAATAACATTGAACTCAAGGTGTTGACAAGATATCTTGTGACAATAATAGAATATACAAACCCAGTGGTTCTAAGCGTTAGTGAAGATTTCTTAATACTGCCAGTGAAACTTAGTAAATTTTATGATGCTCTTAGCCGAGCCCCTGGTCGTCAAAGAAGCCTTGGGGAGTTTCTTCCTCCTGGAGAAGATCTTGTGCAGCAATTGCTTTCAGAACGTTCTTTTTGCTAGTCTCTTGAATTTCTCCTCCTAATAGCAGTTCGTCCAATATGAAATACGCCTTTTCAAAGTTAAAAATGATGTCCAGCTCACAAACACTTCCGAAATATTTATCTAGAAGTTCTACGTATCTATGAATCACCTCCAAGGTGAGGAGCTCGTTATCCTCTTGCTCAATTGCACAACAGAAATACAAACTAGCATATCTCTTATAGACTATTTTCAAGTCTCTCCATTCAAGAAAACTACACATTTTAGGCTTCCTGGCTAGGATGGTGGTGATCAGCTCCCTGGTTATCTTTTTCTTCAGCTTATCTGGGTGAGCGACGTACCATTTCTGAAGTCTGAGTTTTCCTTGACGACTAAACAACAACATAAACTGCATCATGCCGTGTTGGTGTTCCAATTTTTGTATAAATTTCTATATTACAAGACACCCATCCTCGAAACATAACATGTCACCAAACTTAACCTATAAAACATTATCTGTTTCAGTCAGCTGTCGAATTAGTGGTCTATACTTGTTTTACTGTGGTTACATTGTTTTCACGCAATTTTAATAAGGCTCCAATGACGTCATGTACGAGGCAGTTTTGTTGTAATTTAGTATGTTTGTGAATGGCTTCCTATATATTTTATTGACATTTTCTGGTAAATTGTTTAGATCTAGAAGCCTTTAGCTGCATTCATTTTCTACCTACCACTACCTGAATTATACAGTGTGTTTAAAGAAGACGCGGCATTATTGAAGGATGCTATTTTTTATGTTTGAAAACAGTTTTGATAGGCTTACTTCCGAAATTGCGGGGTGTTTAAGGTTTTCAAACATTTTTCCAACAATTCGTTCATTTCCTTCGAAACTTTGTAGTTTTCAGACAGCAAACTTTTTTTTCAAACCGCTTATTTTGATTTGACTGTAGTAAAAAATATATATTATATAATACATAAATACATATAAAATATTATTGTTTTCCCACTAGAAACTGTAGAAAGTCGTCACTTCTAACTCAGATGCAAGAATTCAAAATTATCGTTATCGATAGAAAACTTTGTGAGTAGGTACTCTTAAAATATAACATTTAAAATGAAAAGTATTATAATTTATTTCATGATAAATATAAATCTAATGTTATAATATAATTTATAATAAATGAGCGCAATTACAAAAAAGTAATTCGGAATTTCTATCTTTTTTTTTAATATTCTCTGCTTCAAGAGACCAAGTTGCTTGATATATTTGAAGACACTAACCAATAACGATGAAGGGGAGATATAATCTGATGATAACGTAAATAATATTAGGTAAATCGGAAGCCAGAACCTCGGGTTTTCCTTTTGATGGCACGCTTACTTTAGATCCCGCATTAAACATTAAACAGATGCCCAGGAACTGAAGAACTTTATGATATACTCGAGTGTAATGTTTAGCTCCATAAGTTGTCTAAATATATGCTTGATATAGGATTTACTTTTAATTAATCTAATATACTTGTTTTCATTAGATCTGTTTCGTCAAAATGATAGTATTAAGTGACATCCGCCCGGTCATTTATTGTATTTATAGAATATATTGCAGCAATTTTAGTGCGATTCGGAAAACAAGCAGCGCAGTAAAATGGTATTATCCCATTAAAAAAAAAATTTTAACAATGGAATTATTTTAAATCCTCCCGAAATGTTTTTTGAAGCCCTATTATTCACTTGCTTTAAATGGTTAGCGAATAAAACGTTTCGCGTCAGCTATAGAACTGTATGCGCCGAATATTCAGTCTTAACTTTTAAAAGTAAACAACTAAGATATAAAAACATCAGTTGCAAAAAGGGAAACCTTTCCACGCCGGAACTTTCTAAAGTAGGAGCATTTTTAGTGTCAGTTCGCACCTCTAATGTCTTCCTCAATCCTGTGTTTATTTATACGTACTTTACTCGTATAGGTATATACTTTCCTCAGTGTGACGCAAAAATGTTTTTTTAAGAGAGATGATTCAGATATTGGCGATGTCTCTGCTTCTCTCAATGTTCACATGAAAATGTACTTTATTGTAAAAGTTTCGCGCAAATTTCGTGTGCTCGATGCAAATCAAAGGTCGGAAACGTTTGGCACCTTTTCAGCTTAAAAATAATGGTCCGCTTTGCACATTTTCTGTATGCATTTTAAATTTGTTATAAAATTTGGAAATATATGGGAAAAAATTTCATCAGCAATAGTTAATGGATCCAATCAATTTATTTAAAGTATTTTCATACAGCGGTTGCATAGATGCGAAATGGTAATATGGTAATAGCTCATCTTAAATGAATAAAAACTTAAGAAAAGCATTCGTCATCGGACTCGGGAAGGATTTCTTCAACCAAGCTGTAAAACTCTTCGTATGGGCAGAAATAACCACATCCATTGATTTTAACGGGTATGGGATCGTAGCTTTGATAGTTTTGGTAGAATAGCTGGGGAAAAAATCAATTAAACCTAGACTTGAAGGACTTTTTGCTAATAATCACCTTGATTCCCCAAATTCCCAGTATCTCATGGACCTCAAAGATAACATGGGCGCCATAAGGAGGGACTTCGGTGATTTTGAAGGCATTTAGGGAAAGAAGCATGGAGGCGGAGTTCAGTTCGTGAGCAGAGTACAAGAAGGCCTTTCTGGAAGATGGGCTGATGGTTCCATCAATTTTCGATTTAGTGTCAGCCAGGATTTTCTTCAGTAAATATCCTGGGAAAATTTTTTGACGAATGAAAATAGGTTGCAAAACAGCAGAACAGTTGCTTACCAGCTGCCAGTTTCCGGATCGCGGTATTATTGGTGTAGTAGTAGTAATAATCAACAGCAGCTGAGTGGATGGGTTCCGGGTAGATGGAGGACACCCAGGAGTCCAAGGTGTAGCCAAGCTCTTCCTATAATTCACATAACGTTGAAATATAGACAAATAATGATGATTTCTACTTATACTTGTGTAGCAAATCCAAAGTAGTAACTGTAGGGGCTAAGTAAGGTGGCGGTGGAACCGGATTTTTCTGTCAAAATTTCAAGCAGTTCGCTGTATCTTTCACCGTATGCGACAATTTCTGGGGAGCCGGTGATTTCTGACAGTAATTTGTTGAGATTTGTAGCGCAGGCAGCCCAGGGTAGAGTTTCCTAGAAAACCATATTAGATTCGATATTTCTACAGAAAAAAAATGTCCCATATACCTTGTCTTCAGCAGTAGGCACATAATTGAAGGGAATTGGCTGCCAAGGAAGATCAGACCACACTTGGCTTTTTTTGGGTGGGTAGAGCCCAGCTAGCAAAAGCTCCAAGGACATCTTCGTTCTGTTAACATTGGTGGATCTGGCTTCCAAATAATTTACATTCCATGTGTCGGTGAAGAATTTGTTGTATCTTGCTCTCAAGAGGAGTCCAATTGTATATTCAGTCAATTTACCAGCCTGATAATTTAACGTAATTCGCATAATGTTGGGCTGCAAAGTTTTTTTGTCATGCTTACGTTAGTCAGTTGGCCAAATCCTTCAGGGTAGTAGCTTTCATCGGAGTAAGTGCTGTTAGGGATGATGCTATCTTCGTCAGGATTTCTATTTCCATGACGAAACATCTGAAATGTTTGTAAAACATGTAAACACCATTTTTCGAAATTTAGAGTGTTTTAAGTATGCGGTGAAAATAAATTATACACTTTCGAATACGCTATTATTTTAATAAAAAAATTAATTTTATTAACACATTTTCTCAAAATTTGCGTATCGAGGATAGGTGCCTGAGAAAATTTTAAAAACCATTTGATTTAAAATTTAAAAAAAGAGCTCCCATTTAGAGCTGTCTGGTTCTATTGAATTTTGTGGTGCACACAAATTTTTATACTTTATTTAAAAAATCTATTAAAATAACGAACGTATGTTGAAAATTAAAAAACCCTACTTACCACATGCAGTAACTTCAATGTAGAGGAATCTGCCGAACTGGGGAGCAGAGCAGAGGCTGATAGACTAGCCCACAAAGCGGGAAAAACTATCAGAAAGGTAAATGATTTCATCTTGCCAAAAGTGCTACTGATAACTTCATTACTCCAGTTCGCACTTTTTATACGATTATCATATCTATCTTTCACGTGACATCATAAAATGTTAATACTTTTTCTGTATTGTTTAGTGGTCTTAATCAATTTATTAACCGTGTTTTAATTTCTGAAATTAAACTTCGAACTTTTATATTAGTAAGCTTAAAATTATTTTTACAATCGCTATGTGGTCATCATCAATTCCTCTGATTCCATTCGGTTACACAAACCAAAAAACATGTCCAAAACCCAAAAAATTGATGTTGGACTATGTATTTTTTTATACAAAAGCTAATTGAGTGAGTGTGGAAAACGAAAGTGTAGGATTTTGAAGGTATCGCAGAAGACTTTTAAGGAGGTAAAAAATGACTGAAATGATGGTATTTTCAATTTTACTAATTCAATTCATTCATTTCACATTTTATCAAAGAGTAGCTATTTTAAGGTGTTTTGTATGAATGAACGTTATTTGCTAGGCAGTGTGTATTTTGATGCTCTAATGCCATTCAAAAAATCGCTATTGTGATGCGGGTTAAAAAACATTTCTTAGATTAGCAAATGTTTTTATTAAAAATGATAAAAATCGATGTATTCGGTACTTCAAACTGTGTTTCTCTCGATCTTTCCATAAACGAGTCACTTTTCGAAAAATTTTAAAAAATTCAAATTTTGTTAAACTTCTGGGGAAATTTGTAACAACAAGAAATTTGTTGCAATCAATAGATTCAAAAAATATATTTGCTCAAAATTAAATATTTGTTAACATTAAACAATCAGGTTTATTGGTGGTTCCATAAAAAGTAATTCTTGAATCGCAAATTTTAGTTGCATGTAGCTTCGCTTGATTAGGTGTTGAGGGCTTTAGTCAAGTTTTCGAACATTTTCTAAACTCTTTTATTAAAATCTAACTAACGTGATTGAAAAACTGCACTCAATTCATTTCACAAAAAATATTTTTTCCTTTGTCTCAAATTCTACATTACATTTATTTTTACTTAGTATTTAATTGTCTATATTTAAATATTCCTTTAGAATAACAAATATATTTTAATTTCATTTTGCATTAAATAATAAATTTTGCTATCGAACGCTATCGAGAAAATAGTTGTGGATTAATGGCGTAATTTCCACCCAATAAAAATTATAAGCAGTATATGAATCAAGTAATACTAAAAATCCTTTATTTCTTTCCTTCAACCTTTTCTTTGTTCTTACTCTTTATAATTGATAAACTATTTGCGATTGTTACTAAGACAACTGAGCCACTATGCGGAATTCTAAACTCATAATTTTTTACAGATCTCAGAATTGCAAATATTTTAGGAAAATATTGTGTCTTCAACTGAATAAATCTGACGACAAATTCTTAAAAATTACAATTAACATTCTTAGTTTTGAACATTTAATAAGTAATTGTTAAAATGTAACTATTTATTAAATTCCATTATCATTTTCCTTCAAAGAAGTGAATTTGCGGTGTTTGAATGTGATATTTGTACGTATGTATAATACATTAATTAATAAAATATTCCTATAAGAGCAACCATCCACCATAGAAAAAGGGATTAGTCAATGTTAACAATGTCGTTGTTATTCTAGATAAATGACGTTATTAACGGTGCCATAAAGAAGAAATTTCGAAAACATCTTTTAGTTGCATGCAGCTTCGCTTAACTTCACTCTTATTTGTCCTTAACTTCACTCTTATTTTTTTCGGAACGTTTTCATCAACCGTGTGCAAAAAGGGTTTGAAATTGGACGCAGGGCTGCTACTAATGGGAAAAAAATATTGGAAGGTACTTGTTTGCAATTGACTTTTATCTAACGGAAAATGTAAACTTTCTATAGACATTTATTCTTTAGTTCTGTGTTTCAGTCGAAAAAGAGCTTGTATCTAAAAAAAATTATTGGCAATTTTTCAAGCAAGTGAGTGAATTATTTTCTGCACATATAAAGGCACTTCATTAACGAGGTTTAAGAAAGAAATTATTATGAAATCTGTTAGATGAAAGTCAATTATTTATATTTACTATATATTTAAGTACACCATAAAATGTGGACTCTTTATAGACATTTATTCATTAGTTTTGTCTTTTAGTGAAAAAATCTTGTATCTCAAAATTGTATTGATGATTATTTAGGCAAGTGAGAAATTATTTTCGTCATTTATAAACGCACGACATTAACTAGGTTTAGGAAAATAATATTATGAAAACCGTTAGATAAAAGTCAATGATTTGTACTAAATATTTATTTACACGCAAAAACGTAAACTTCTTATAGACATTCATTCTTTAGTTTTGTCTTTTAGTAAAAAAAGAGCTTGTTTCAAAATATTTAAATTTGGTAATTTTAACGCATAGCATTAACGAGGTTTAAGAAAAAAAATTATGAAAATCCGACATGCTTGAAGAGAATTAGCTGCAAGCTGAGCAGACAAATAATACTAGAGAAAAAAATGGTCATCGTTCACAATGTCGTTATTATTCAAGATAAAACATTTTATTAAGGTACTTTATGGCACCGAACAAATTCTAGAAAGCGACTTTTTGTTGCATGAAGCTTCGCTTAGTTTTGTTATTAACGGCTTATGTTGGCATTTTTATTTTTGCATTATTGTCACTAAGCGTTCCTGTCACCAGCACTTACAATCATATAAACAGTTTTTTTAATTGGACTCCAATTATCAGGTAGTAAATCGATTTAATTTAAGTAATCAGGTATTTGTTCAGCAAGTCATTAGAGCAGTTCAATATTTTGACGAAATATTGGTCATGATGTCTATATTGCTACCAAATTGCTATAATCTTGCAATTAGGAATTATTTAGCGATTAGCACGTGGACTTTCAGGTACGACAAAAATCTGCACGTTTACGTATTAGTTGATTATTTGTGTAGGAATTGGTTGTTTAAATTGCGACTATGCATATATGAACAGATACACATATTTTTTATGGCACGGAATCACTGGCCTTGCAAAGAAAGTAAATCAAAAAGCTTTTAAAATGCGAGATAAGAAAATTAACATTCTCGCTGTATATTAAAGTAACATTTATCTAGCCGTTTTCAAGTGGGGTTTTAGTAATGTGGGAACTCTTGAAACATATGTATGAGTGGCGCCAACTGAAAACTAGCCTGTCCTTAAAATATACTGATCATTGTTGAAAACAAGAGGTCTTCCTTTGCTCCACACGACGAAACATTTGGAATCTTTGAAAGAAATAAGGGTAAAAAGGTGCAACCCTGATTGATTGGAATCTTTAAAATGCCTGCCTTTTTTAAGGAAGAAATGGGAGCTTTTTTTTCACAGTATTTCTTATTGTCATTTTATATGCTTGCTTTCATTGCAATGGATGGAATGGTTGTAATAAATATTTGTGTCCCAAATGTTGAATTTCTTGATGATACCAAGTCCAAAGTCATTTTACAGCTTTCTGTTGGTTTCCGCCAATTTATACCGCGACTCATTAAAATACCTGCTTTTTTAAAGAGAAGAAATAAAAGTTTGATTAAATTAAGAACAAGACAAAATATTTTATAAAAAATGAAGCGTTTGGTATGATGCACCCAAATTCTAGAAGGCGTGTTGAAATGAAGGCAAATTGAAACATTTCATGCAAACTAATTTATTTACAAAGTATTTAAAATTGTCATTTTATAGCATTGCTTTCATTACAATCCCAAATGTTAAATTTCTTGATGATACGACTCTTTAAAATGCCTGCTTTTTTTAAATAAGAAAATAAATTCGTTTAGGAGCGAAACAATATATTTTATTAACCCTGGAGTGCAAGTATTCACAGAATCAAATTTTAAAAGCATTTTGAACAGGGTATTGAAATGGCGACAAATTGAATGCAAACTATTTTCTTTGTAAAATAGTTTTTATTGTCATTTTATATTATGTTTGCTTTTGTTATGCCATACATTTGTCTGAAATGAGAATTTCTTGAAGATTCAAAGTCCAAAGTCGTTTTACAGCTTGCTGTTGATTTTCGCCAATTTCTAATTGTTATTGTTTCATCATAACTTTATTGCATGTATAAAGTAGTAAAACAATTAATCGTTGAGAAATATTATGATTAGGATGTCAATAAATGAACAGCATCGCCTTTTACCGACGGAACAAACGTGTTGTTCACGTGAATAACTTCAAGCAATTATTTCGATTTTTATTATACGATTTAATTCTGAACAAATATGAATTATTAAGTTTGTCACTGGGGATTATATCAGGTTGTTGCTGATTATTAAAGTCGTAAAATTTGGCGAAAATGTGCTTGAACAATACATAGATTTCCAAATCTATGCGAGGCACCTGCTTATGCGCGTTATTCCGAAACCACCTCTAGGAAATTTTTCGCAAATTTTTCTTGAGGGAGTCGTTGGATATCTAAATATCTCACGCACGCTGAATATTTTCATTTGCAAGTCTTGACTTATTTTTTCTTTAGATTCCTGCGACGTTTATTTTATTTCGGTCGAATTTAATGAATTAGAGTCAAAATTCTGGATATAATGGCCAAATTGTTTTCATTGATAAATCGACACTATCATGTAACCAGAATATCTTGCTCCCTTTGGAACGACAGGTTGCGGATGAAATTTAAAGGGCGTATTCATACGTCAACCAGTTTGCCACTGGCGGGCGCCAGTTTGTGATTTATTGAAACCCTATGGAGCATATGTTGATGTCCAAATTGCTAGTCCTCTTTTTGTTCTTCTTTTAACAGCCAAGAAAATGTTTTTCAGACGGTGGCCATTGCGACACTTAAGTCTTCGCAAATTTCTTCAAAAATTGCATCTGGTTTGGGAATTTGTACGATTAATTTAACAACGAAAAACTTGTTCTATGTTTTCTTGCATTATTATTTTACAATCTATATTTTACTTGGCAACTCATAACACCAATTACAGTCACTTTATTATTATCGACAGAGTATGCAGGACTGCTAACAATTTAGATTTGTGATTTTTTTATATTCCTTTGGGAGCATTTAAGTCCGAACTAAAGCTGAAGGTACCCATGTAATTTATTTATTGATTATTTATCTGTTAATTAATTAATTCGCCATGGATTTTTTTCCGTTTAATAAATTTGAATATTTTTTTGTCTGCATTGTTCAATTGTTTAAAGTAGTTTATTATTTAGGAAGCAATTCATTACAGAAATTTCTCACAAACACTATTCTGCTAATTTAGTATTGGACTCATCTTGAATCTCAATGAATATTAAACGATCATTTTTCGAGAACTTCTCGGGAATAAACTTCAATTATGATCTATTTATAACGAAGGAAATTGGCATTTGATCAAGTATTGATTTTGTATTAGCAATGAAGGACGTCCCGGTCCAGAAACTCCACCCAGTGGATCCAGATCCCGTGCAATCCCATTCGGTAGCCGGGATAAATCCCGCCTCCATATCGAATTCTATTCCAGCCTGAATATTAAGTCAGTTTTGAAAGAGTCCGGGTTCCTGACAAGCGGGATAAATTTGAGTTGGGTTTTGTTTTTGTGACGTGTGTGGTTGATTCGTTGTTGTTTTTCGCGTTTTCCAATTGAGAAAAATGTCTTACAGTAACTCACCACCTGATCTTCAACAGGATGTTTATCAGTATGGGTACCACCATGGGTACCATTATATTTCTGGTAAGTATTCAACTCATATGGTTTTTTTAAACTTTTTCACATCGGCAGAAAATCCCGAAAAGTTCGGCAGTTTCAAGCAATGACCGCGGAAGCCCAGCTATTTTAATATATATTCTAGGCCGTTGTAAAAAATAATTTCTTTCTAACGTTTCGCAAGGACAAGTTGCTCGCATCTTCAGAGGTGGTTAACAACGACCTCTGAACATTTTTTTCCACACCCGCCCAAAAAATTTACCAGTCTCCACTAATGACAGCGAAAGCCTAAACTTTTTTATGCGTATTATATTAAGCAATCATTCCGTATCTTTGATTTTCAGTATATAGAATGTTTATTGTAGAACTCAATGCAATTAATAGATAAGAGAAACGGAAAATTTAGCTCTAAATTGAAATTTAAAAAAATCGCTTTTTTGCATTTTCCGATAAGTTTTTCGCAAACAAAATCCACATATACGTCTAAGTAAAAAAAAAACAAATCTAATATCGGCCCAGTGGTTAAACTGCCTCAAAGTCGCAAAACAATGTGGTCGAGTATAATTTTATCATTGTAAAAATGCGTTAACTAAATATATGAAAATATGGAAATTATAAGCTACCGAGATATCCATATGATGAGCCTCGGTAGCATAAAGTTTCGTATAAACTCACAATATTAAAACATCGACTGTTTATTATTTCAAGGAAGACATCTGGGAATGTCGTGGCGCTATAAAATATAATATTTTTGTATATTATTCAAAAAACATAAAAAACTAAAGGAAAGCGACATTCTGTAGTACGGAGATTCTGTTTATTTTTCAAAGGTTTTATAATGACTTTATAGCATTTGCTTAACAAATGTTATAACTGGAGAGTCGCTAGGTATAATATTCACATGTTGCTATACGCTTTTTATGGTGTTTTAGTTAATATGGAACATTTTATGAATTGGTCCATATTCCAAGTCCGATATTAAGGTTTGAAGACCTCAGCTGTTGTTTTATTTTATTGGCTACTTATTCAGCGCTTCTTTATATTTAATGCTATTTATGCTTGCTTAGGCTACATTTCCATTTGCATAGATTCAAAAAAATTGGCAAACATGCGACAGAACATTATGTAATTGTGGCATAAATTTCCACAAAATTATCTGCATGAACATTATGACACTCTGTGAATTTACAGATTGTAACGCTATCATTCCAAAGCTAATAGCAGGTGGTAAATAAAAAAAGTTGAAGTAACCTAAGTAAATTCCTATGCACATTATAAGCGCATTTACCTAAACCTCCCGTTGGGTTTAATACTGTAATTAATCGGTTTAATAAGATTTAAGGCATGCTTGATAACCATTTAATTGCATATCGTTAATTTCTTATGTTGTTTATGGCGGCTTTAAGGGAAAGAAAACGACAGTAACCGTGGAAATTCAAAAATCAATCGGCATGAACCACATTAGATTCGTTTTTTTTAGTTCGGCAATAGCAAAATTTATTTAAAGATAATAAAAATCAAGTTTTGACAGTTTGTTTTACTGTAAGTTTTCCCGATTAAAAATAACTCGGGTTTACGTGTTCCCCGGTTGAGTTCATAAAATCTGATAAACACACAATCTTCCTCTCGTGAAAGTCTTTGAGGCAACGTCAATAAAATTTTATTGACCTCATATAACGCCCTATCATCCTGTATATGTATATAAAGAAGATAATTTTAGCTCCACACAAAAGGATGTTATAATTCGAGGAATTTATAGCTCAAATTTATTCACGTAACGATCATCAATTGAATGCGTAGATGAGGTAGATGAGTTGGTATTTTTTTTCTTCAGATGGCAGTACAATTGGGGGCGATGAATCGAATTTTTGGTCAAATAGTCCCAGATCAGAATCGCCGTCTCCCAATATTTTGCACTCGCAAAACCAACTCGACAATTCCTATATTTACTCAAATACCGGCTGTCCCACCCCTAATCATTACTCCGTTTACCGCACAAGTAAGTACTGTAGTATTTTTTTCGCTTGGAATAAACGACAATGCTGATAGATGGATTCAAATAAATTCAATTCTGATTCAAATTAACGCTTAACGATTGAAGCTGTTAGTCAGCTCGCTTTTAATTTGGATCTCACTTGAAGTTTTGGGTAAAGCCTAGTCAGGAGCAGATGCGTTCCATTTGCCTCCCTCTGTACATGTTCGTTCGAAAACCAAAGCGTTTTTGCAAAAATTGCAAAACTTTAAAATAATCAGGATTGAATTTCGAAAATGTCTAGTAGATATCTAATGATGAATCCGAAAGAATCATTTCTGATGTACGTTTGAATGTTTAGCGATGGGCGGAGAAGGAGATTTAGGACCGCCATTTGTACGGGTGGTAAAACGACGAACAACCGCAAATAAAAAAGAACGGCGAAGAACTCAGAGCATAAACAATGCGTATCATGATCTTAAGAGAATTATTCCGAATGTTCCCATGGATACGAAGCTTTCAAAGGTAAGCGTTCAGGCGCTCTGTTTGGTGAGCTGTTGCTGGATGAAAAATCCTCTGCGTTAAAAAAATAAGGACTACAAAGGATAATTGTTTCTAGATCAAAACATTGCGATTGGCTACAGCATATATTTCATATCTAACTAGAGCTTTAGAAACTGATGATACTCCGGGAACATTCAAAGCAGAGCTAGGATCGTTGTCTAGAAAATCAAGCAGTAGCAGTAGTAATAGCCAACAGAATATCATGAATAATAGTAATAACAACAATAATACGAATTGCTCCAGTAGCCATGGATCGCCAAAAAGTGAAAGCTCGGTAAGTGGACAAAAACTGAAAATTGACGCCGGTAACAGCGGTTCTGAAATGCAAATCGAGTTCTTTATAGGTTTTTTATAACGTTTACAAGTTAGTAGTATCTAAAGTGAAGTCAATCAACAGCTGTGTATTTCCAGTCACTTAACAAGGCGATAATCAACTTGCTCGATATTTCATTCGGGTGTTTGTGTTGACATATTTATATGGATAGCGATCACTTAGCTGCTTCAGTTAGTCATAAATATGCAACAATCCTACTGGAAAGAACTTGATTTAATTTCTAGAAATGATCTCTCGAGGGAGGCGCAAGCCGAGACCAAAGTTTATCTAAATTAAGATCTGAATAGTTTCCCTAATCCGATTTCAGGTGATTATGATCTATTAACACCCTCCCCTCAATTTATCTAAGTGGGTTGCCTTGCTCTAACATTCGCCAGAAGCAACCGCCATGACACGAGTCATTATCTTCTCTCCAGAGGGGTGTTCACTCAATCCCAACCCCAAAGCCATAATTTTCCTCTAATTCAATTTATCTCTCTATTGCGGCTTTAGTAATTTGCTTCATATGCCAGCTTTATTTATTAGCTGTCTCAATTAACCAGTAAGTGAAAATGCTTAAACCGAGTTTTTTACTTAGGAAGATTCGTCGAACTCTCGAAAAGCAAAGGGGCGTACGGGATGGCCCCAACATGTTTGGGCTTTAGAACTGAAACAGGAACAAGCTTTGTAAATTGAAAGAAACATTTCAACCAGTTCTTTGCAGTCTTAACGATCAAGTTAACGATAGCAGGAATTTTGAGTTGTGGGCCTGAAGTTCTAGGAGAAGAAAAAAAATTGATCTGCTAGATAGTTGTACTGTTCCTTAGGGCTCTCTGAAAATTACCAAAGATTTTTCGTAAAGAGCATGCGAGAAGCCATTGTACGTTTACTGAGTTGTAGGGTTTCTAGGTGCCAATAGGATGTTAACAATTCTCGAAATGCTGTAATTTTTTTTGTATCAGTTTCCTGGAGCTGTCCAGGACCGAGCTTAAGGACCATCGCAGTTGAAAATTCCGCTCAAATCATGTCTAAGAATAAAATTTTAGTTTTGTTTTCATCCTGCTTGCTGTTAATATACCCTTCTCAGATTTCTTCAATTTTCCAAAGTTTTCAAGTGCAATTGGATATGGAAAGAATCAAATTAAGGTAGTTGTCTGAAGTGTGTTGTTCCTAATTTCGGTTCTGCTCCTTGATGTAAATATATTATCTGTTTTCAGTTAAATGTTGCCAGATGGCCCCTCAATGTATACATTTACTTACCTACACCTTAAGAGTTTTATATATTATAGCGATAGTCGGAGTTTATAATTAGACATATTATGTGCTTTTTGTTTATTGCCTTGTTTACGCAATAAGCAATAGAATAGCATTATAGCAATACACATTTTTCTAACTTCTCTAAATATTGCAATAAATCGATTTAGAGAGTAGTCGTTTTTACGTTTTATTTTTACATTTCGATTTCCTGTTGTTGTCCTTTCTTATTCAACTAAAGTAAATAGTTTTCTTTAGAAAAAAATACTGACTTAATATTGATGGGCTGTTTTATTAGAAACATGGTAAGTTGATTATTAAGCTTGTAGAGTAGAGAGCGTCTAAGAAACAAAAAAAAATGTCTAAATGGCATTTACAATTTATTTTCAAGGGTTCAAAAGCTTAGTTTTCACAGTAAAATTCCTTTTTTGTATTGTTTCAAAGTTATTTCTGATATTTACGATAGTTTCTGCAATTTCGCCTTTCGTAACACGATGGAAAAAAAGAGTTTAAGTGTAACTATTTGAATTAAAAAAACAGAGGGATTTTTAGAATGTTTTGGGGTATTTTGATGCGCCTTTCATATGACCTAACTTGCACCCCTTTGGTTTGATTTTTTCGAAATTCTCCCAAATTTGTTGTTTCATTAAAACGAAAAATCAGTAGCAGGACGTTTATTTAGTAAATTTCCTAAACAATGAACGTACGAACGGAAATTCTGATTATTCAAACCAGTTTTTAATTTACTATAAAACCATGGTAAGCTGATGATTGACCTTATAGTCGAAGAAGCAAAAAAAAAATTGCCTAAATGGCGATTACAATTGATTTTCAAGGTTTCAAAAGCAAGGCTTTCAGCGTAAAATGTATTTTTTGTGTTGTTCCGAAGTTATTCCTGTAATTTACGATAGTTGTATGCAATAACGCACTGGAAAAAATCTGAGTTTAAGTGTAAATATCTAAATTATAAAACAGAGGGATTTTAGAATGTTTGATGTCTGTCTTTTATATAACTTTCCTTGCACCCATGTGTTGGTTTGAGTTTTCCGAAATCGTAAAAAATTCGCTATTTAATTAAAACTAAAAATCAGTAGGAGGGCGGTTTCAGTAAATTTCCTGAACAATAAATGTACGAACGGAAAAATCGGTGTTAAATTCCAATTTGAAATATGATTATTGACGCCCACTGTGTCTCAACATGTGGAAGAACAAAGATACATTGATTTTGTAGCGTTGAAGTGGGATTAAATTTCAGTCAATTGACTGAGACATATACAACACATTTATTGTCATTATCGCTCTTTCTTCTAATTAGGAAGAGCTTTTAGCTATTTTTATTAACAGGGAGCTATTGAGAGACACGCAGATGATCAGATGTTGAATCATCCCGTTTGGGTCGGTCAAGGTTTTTTTGACAGAGTATAATAATTAACTGAGGCTTTCAAGATAATATGGCAATTTTTTTATTGATTGAAATCACATAAATAAATCTTGCTACGTGCTAGTTTATTGTTTGAGGTTCTTGGTTATCCATGGTAAGAATTTTTCGACTCGAGTGTAAACTCCTGGATATTGGCCTTTGCCACAACCAATTCCCCAGGACACAATGCCCACTTGTGTCCATTTGCCACTGTTGACCATTAGAGGACCTCCTGAGTCCCCCTGAAAATGCAATAGGTACAATTCATTAAATTTTAGAAACAAACCGGCAAGAAGCTTGTTTATACATTTATTTAAAAAATCGTTTCAATCTTTGCAAGACTGCTGATGCCTGTTGTTAATCGGAAATTGTATATACTTTCCTGACTGTGTTTCAACTCTAAATCAAAATTAATTCCTGGGTTTCAGTCATTTATTGTCTTTATTTATCAATTAAAATACGTTTCGGTGTATTTTTCCACCATCATCAGTTTTTACGTGTAGCGTTGTTGCTGCTTTAAGCCTTGGCATACATTTGACTGTATGCCAAATAAATGACAGAAACACAGGAATTAATTTTGATTTGGAGTTAATCGGAAAGATTTTAACGCTAATTGCGGATTTATCGTGGGACTTGACGTGGGTTAAGCCCACCAGCAGTGCCGCATTTCATTAAAGCATTTGATTGCAGAAACCCCATCGAATTTAATTTGCCTAATCTCGGAACATCACTTATTGCGGAAGCTTACACTGCAAGAGTCTCTATTAGCCTGGCCAGCACATAGCATGTGGTCAACAATGCCCCCAGGGGCCGCATGGCCATATTTCTGCCTGCAATCGTTGTTACTCCAAATGGGAATGTTGACTTCCTGCAAAACCGCTGGCTGAGGCCCACCTGGAAAATACATTTTGTAACACACAATTTTTTTGTTTAAATGGAGGCCTACTCTCTCTTATGCTGCCCCATCCAATGACCGTGCCAGTTGATCCAGCCCAATCTCGTGCTCCGGCCGAAGGCAAACATACAGGCCTTATTACGGAACTAAAATCAACTGGGCTATCCAAAGTAAGAATCGCTATGTCATTGTACTAAAAGAGATGTAATTGCCAATATTTTCTGTTCTGATAGCGGGTTTGAGACGGGATTGAACCTCCTTTTATTTCCTGTCCCAAACCCGTTATCAGAATAGTTTGGGGGTAAAAAACTACTCACTAAAGTCCTGGAGTCAAATCCTCTGTGTCTCACCACCCGTTTGACTCGTTTTTCCACATGTTTCACCTCGGAATTGGTTTTAATGTTGTAGTCTCCTAATCGAACGGTTACGCGGGCAACATCCCAGGAACTCATGCTGCAGTTTAAGCAAAAAAAGTAGACCAAGACCTTGATTTCGGCGCATTAATACTTACTGAGCCACACAATGTGCAGCAGATAAAATGTGAATATTATCGATTAAAGACCCTCCACAAAACTGCCTGCCGCTGTTGAACAGAGCTGCAATCCAGGGCCACTCGTTAAGATCAGCGTTGTGTCCTCCGACAATTTTCCCCTGATCCTGGAACCCATTCTTAGCCCCACAAGCAGCCGTTCCAATATCATAAGAGGGTTTTGAGGTAGTTGTCTTTGTTGGCACTGGTTTATTGGGCTTCTTGGTGGTTCCCCTAGTGGTGATGATCAAGGATGGTTTGGTGGGGGCCTGGCCGATTGAGGGATTAGGAGGGTGGGTTGGAAGTGGAGGGATTGTGTGGTCTGGAGGATGAGTTGGCAATGGCGGGGGCCAGTTTGGAATTTTTGCATTTCCTGCCAATTGAGTCGAGTTGGAGTTTTCTTGGTCGTTTGTATCCTCACTAGCAGGTTGGGGGCTTGTTTCGGCTGGGCCGGAGCAGCAAACTCCAAAAAGCTACAAGGAAAACAATCCACAGTCATTTGGAAATTGGCCAAATTCTTTTAACTCGCCTGTCGCCCTTGCTCATTATAGTAGCTGCAGGTGTCGTACATCCCAAGAACCCAAGGATCCACATTGGGGAATTTCAAAAAAGGGTAACATTTTCGGAATGCTATGCAAGATCCTGGTTCTCCTCTATTAGTGTAGCATGATCCAGCAGAGGCCAAGAACGAAGGGCCAGAATTTTGAGTTATAGAAGGCGCGTAATTGATCAAGGGATAGCCAAAGACTGGCTGAAGCAGAAACTGCTTGGAATCACGCTTGAATTTCCACTCTGCTTTTGATTCTGGATCTAAAAGGCAAACACCACCTTTGCTTTAGTAGCAATGACTCGTTAAGTCACTTAAACGTGAGTCATAGTCATAAATAATTAATCCATTGTAACTGGTAAAGTGCAGCACTTTGCTGCTTGTATTTTTATTTTGATATTGTTCTTTACTTTGAGAACTGAAAAATATTTCTGCTAAATATTTTGAATGGTCAGCTTGAAAAAAACGAATAAATATGATAATGAATGTCGAGTCATTAAACCGACGCTCTCTTAAGACGGTATTTATAACGGTTATCTTTTTAAAGGTGCCTACCTATATGCAAATTGAGCCAGGATTATAAACCACAACATGTTTTACTTTTATTTCGATATTTATGTCATCAAAGTTAATTGGCACATTTGCTAATACAGTTCCACGAAACAGATATTATCATCTTTCGGACATCATTTTTTCATTTGCGTATCTAGATTAACGAACTTCATAAAAATGCTCTACCCATTGTAGTCTAATCTGATTTGGACTTTATGAATATTAATATGTCCGTTTCGATATAAATATCTAGCAAGTAGTTCACAATTCTGACCATGAACTATAAGACGTTTTTATATGGGAGGGGCTTGGTCACAAACCGGGAATTTATTGGTTCAAGCACTTGTAAGGCAAGTGTTAGAAATTGTTATGCAAGAAAAATGTTCGAATTTAAAATGGTGGTTTGTTAGCCACACTTCTTAGAAACATGGATTTTTATGGGGGAATTGAACTACTGTTTCAGCCAAACTCACTTATCTACGACTCAAAAGGACTTGGTTGGTTTCTTTATTCAGAAATTGGTGTTTTTAGTGCCAAATTTACTCACAGTTGTATCATCGGACAGCGGTTAAAATTGTTTACTTTCGTATGCGAGATTGTAATACAATTAGTATGCAATACCATTAAGAGAACTTGCAAGTTGCAGGTCCGAAGCAAGTAAAAATGCTATAAATTGGGATTTTCTGAGCCCTTTCTCAGAGCCGACCTGAGAAATGCATTTTTCGAATCCGATTCACAACGCGTTGCTTCAAACAAAGATGCCAAGTTTTACATCAAATATACTTTGTTGATTTTTTTTTTATGTTAATCAATTTTTTGAAAAATCAAAAATCTATTGTCCTTTGTGCATGTTGCAACTTGAATAAAAAATATTAATTTTCATTCTTTAATAGATCTTATTTCGTAGTGCTTCTTTTGGATATTCCGAGAATTAACAGGTGAAAATTTGCCCGAAATTGAACTGGTCAAAAATGTTCAATTTTCGGAAAAATTTCTGCGGAATTCGACCGGAAATTACCTTAACGACTTTACGACTTTAAAGGAAAATTGAATATTTTTATGGAATTTTGCTACCTCCGTCTGGTGCCGTACGCAGAAGTTGTCCGTTGGTTTTAGTTTTGGATTTAAAAGGTTTTTTGGAAACAAGTTTTTTTACATTTTTTTGCCCGACCATTTGATTGACGCGTTAAGATTGCTACTAGATACCTCTTGATCTACCGACTATTTCATCAAGAGCAACATTTTTCGCTAGGAGGCTTAGATTCAGAAAAAAAACTAAAGTGAATTTAGAGCAACCTGATTATGGCCGAATTTCTGCTTTTTTCACTTATTTATTGTCTTGGCTTATCCAAGACCTGCCTAGTGAAAATTTGCCTAAAATTCGGCTCAAAAAATGGAAAATTTATTTAAAAAAACCGTCAGTAGCCGGCTTATTGAGGACCTTACACATAAAATGAATATCAACTTTTTAGTTGAACACCTCTTGACCTGCCGGACGTTTGATCGAGAGCAACATTTGTCTCTAGAAAGCTTCAATTTGGAGAAAAACAAATAAATCTTGAGCAACTCTACAGCCTGAATGAATGAAATTTGGGATGTAGTGATTTATGTATTTTCACATCTCTGACTGGGCAAGGAAATCAATTGCAAGAGAATCAACATGTAGGTATATTTTCCTCTGCGCCACCCTGTATTCGATTGAAAAAAACAACACATTTGCTGCCAATATATTGAATTTTTCTATAATCCCATTGACAATGTATTGTCGCTTCATCAACCGGTCAATTGATGAGAAAATGTTTCAATTTATTAGCAAATACCTGTCTGAATCACTGCCAAGGTTGCAGCGAACGTTCACCTTCGCAGAAACAATGTTCTTTCATTATCGCACACGACGAAAAATTATGCAGAACTGATTGCTAATCGATCAAGTAAGTGATTCTTCATTAATGTTGGTGATTCTGATCACGATATTTTGTTAAGTGCATGGGCCCTAAATCTGGGCACCCAGGGAAGGAACCTTAACAAAAGGCTTCCGAGTTTTGCGAATTTTTCGCAAAATTCAAGGTTGTTAGTTTGAAATATAAATTTTCGAAACTACAGGTTTTTCATTGCGGAAGTGAAATTTGCGCCTTTTTCTGGTGATGGTGAAATAAGAAAAACTGCCAATGCGAGACCAAAACATGATATATAAAACTAGCGGTTTCGCCAAGATTTCCTAGGTTTTTATCTGATATTTATGTTTCTGTGTCCCTTCGTTTGCTTCCTTCGTCCCTTCGTTTTTTTAGGCCGCCCTCTACTAATAAAATTCAATAGTGCTAAATTTCAATTAGAGGCAAAAATGCCAAAAAAATATTGGAAACATTTGGGCCATTTGCCGCTTTAGAAAATATTTTTTGTAGCTGAAGGCGTGAAGAGCGAACTCCTCACGCCTGAATATAGGCAAAAATAAACTAATTCGCTCTAGGGACCAAAGAATCATCCGCGTACCGAATTACAAAAATTTTTCGGGGATTCAAATTTTCGAAGCATCTAATTGAAGAAAAATCGCTTTTGAAATGAGCACCTTACCTTCCAGATCGATGACAACTGAATCTAAGTCATCAATGCAATGTGTAATTACAAGTTGCACTAACAAACACAAACAAACGTGTATCACACTTCCCATGTTTGTTTCATTTAATAAAAAGACGCTGCAGGATCTCACAACCGTTACTGCTATAGGTACTGTGACTGTAATACAAAGTGGCTTCTTTAAAACATACCTGATGAGTTGATGTCCCCTCTTAATCCAGCTCGAGAACCGGAGGACCAATTTGCAACAAGCGGCCTTAAGACGATTATCTGACATGGGAAATCTTTTAGGTAATAACACCTATTTCATTTCTTCGAACCACTAAAAAACTGTCGGGACCGGTCAAGTTGATATGAAAAAAAACCAAAGAGGAGTGCTTATCAAAGCAGTTTTGCGCACAAAGTCCGGGACCAGTAGCCTTTTTTAATATCGCTCTTTATTAAAGTATTATCCATCATCACACCAAATTACCTTAAAAATCCTACGATGGGCTTTGCTTTAATTATTCTTGTAGATGCGTAAAACGTCCGCATGACACAAACACATCCACTTAAACTAGGTTCATCTAGAAACACTAAACGATAAGAATTTTGCGCATTTTATTCCGACACTTTTTCTCAAACATCCATGACCTATAAATTACGCTCACATTGGAAAACGACGTTAATTATGTAAATGCCGCTGAACTAGTTATTTGTCTCAGTTTCGTTAATTAGCCGATATTCAAATGGGAATTAGATCTGCATTTTTCACACTGTAGGGGGTTGTTATTGTCGATCTCACCCCCAGAGATTTCGGCTTCTAATCAGTATAAAACGCAACTCACTCCAGAGGACTTCACATTCTATCAGCGCACATTCAAGCATGGGCTTCTCGGTAACTGTGATTTGTGTTGCAATTTTTTTTCTTATCCTACGGGCTAATCCATCAGCATCCATTGAACATGGAAATAACGTAAGTATTAATGCTATAAAATATATTTATTTATATAATTAATGAATTTAAAGCAATTTACCCCAGGCATTTTTATACTTTGATATGATGATCTACAGCGTGTGTGGATCGCTCCAATGATCCTACTATTTTAACTAGTTTACGAATATAACTGACTTCCTATTTTAGCCTATCACCTTTTTTCAAAAAAACATAAAATGTGGCTCTTTGCTTGTCGATTCAGAGCGTTTCTACCGAAAGACTCTAAACGCTGTAAAATTGAATTTTTACTCATTTTACCGAAGAAAGCCTTTTGTATGGAGGGTGAAAATTGGAAATCCACGTGGCTGATTTTGCATTTTTTCGGGGTTTCAAGAAATATCCGTGTAAATCTTCGACGGTTTTCAGACCAAATTTCAAACGGTTATTTCAAAACCCCTCTAACTTCTGGACCGATGCTTTTCAGGTTGCTTTAAGGAGAAAAGTTCACTCTATATAGAACAAACACTATAAATGAATAGCGAATTTTTTTACAATTTCTGGTAATTTTTCAAAAATCATCTAAAATGTCGTCTTTTGCTTACCGGTTCCAAGCGTTTCTACCGGAAAACTCTAAATACTGGAATGTTGCATTTTAACGAAGTTTGTAGAAGAAAGTCGTTTGTATAGATAGATGAAAATTGGAATCCTTGTGGCTGACTTTTCATTTTTGCGGGTCGTCAAGAAATGACCATGTCAATATTTCAACCATTTTCCGACTAATTTTTAGCCGCTTGTTTCAAAATACCTCTAAACCCAGGAACGTTGCATTTTAAGTGTTTCTAAGGAAAAAGTTACTGTATCAATGACGAACATCATACATGATTTTATTCTCATACATTTTACAATTTTTGGGAATTTTTCCAAGAGCATTTTAAATGTCGCCTTTTGCTTGCCGTTTCAAAGCGTTTTTACCGAAAGACTCTAAATTCTGGAAAATCACATTTTAGGTGTTTCTAAGGAAAAAGTTACTGTATCAATGACGAACATCATACATGATTTTATTCTCATACATTTTACAATTTTTGGGAATTTTTCCAAGAGCATTTGAAATATCGCCTTTTGCTTGCCGTTTCAAAGCTTTTTTACCGAAAGACTCTAAATTCTGGAAAATTGCATTTGAAATCGTTTAACTGAGGAAAGTCCGTTAAACAGCGATAATTAGAGAAACCATGAGAAAATACCATTTTCTCAAAAAACACTCAATTTATGATGGACGCTTTGCAAAAAAAGTTGCTACTGTTCATTGTACTTTCCAAAAAAAGTTGCTAAGATATAATTAGCTTCCATAGATCCATATTGGCTTGCAAATGACCAGGTAAAGCAGAATCTGATTTCCCAAGTGATTTGAGACTGCTGCCAATAATCCAGAACATTCTGTTAAAAATAAAGCCCAACTGTTTTCTGTTGGTAAAAGTTATGTCATAGAAATTAATGAAAATACATTTAATCCTCTACAGATTAACGGCGACCCATCAGAAACTGAAATCAATTCAAGAGGAAGCAGTCTAAGCCAGGAAAACTACTCACCCGCGTGGATGGATCGAAAGTTCGGAAAGCAAAAAATTAACGACTTACTGAGAGACAAGAATAAAATGGTCCATATTCTCGAAACTTTGGATGAATATCTGTGCTCTATTTTCACGGGGAATGATGGTACCGGTGAGCTTTTTTCGCCAATGTGTTCTAGAGGGTGAATTTTTCAAATTACAGGAATGCAGAAGCGCGATGGGCACCTCTACTATACACCCCGATTAGGACGCAATGTGGAGGATGTTGATAATGCAAGAGATATTTCACTTACTGATGGATCTTCCTTTTCAACTTCACGACGCAGTAGAAGACCTCATGGTAGCTCCTATTCGCCTCGTCTAGGGCGGGATGAGTCAGGGATTTATCTATGAGGACCACAGTGAATATTTATAAATTTATTAAGTTATTGCCTGGATAGAATTAGTAGATCTTAATAAAAAGCATTCAATATTTAAATTGCCTTTCTAATATATTTTTATAACACAACCACCCTCAAAAAGTCTTTGGTTTACATTTTTTTTAATTAGTGAAAAAACTTGTCTTACTTTCGAAATATTTTTTATGAGTATTTTGCCTCAAAAATTTTCCCTTTTAAAAATACCGAACTTCCTCGAGTCTTTTATTGCAGATTGATAAATAGTGCACTTATTTCACAATAAAGACCGGATTCTTTATCAAAAGATACAAAACATAGAAAAGAACTATTAATACATTTTTAACAAGGCTAAAGAAGATAAATGCCTAAAAAAAATTCTCTGAGTTTTCGTTGTTTCACAAGAGATTTTTTATTCATTTTTTTGCCTTGTCAAAATAATTATAAATGTATTATTTTTAGGTATGTTTTGTGAACGAGAGCAGATTTTCTCTTACATCTTGATCGTGCTACATTCGTATTTTATATTCGTTCTTTATTGTGAAATAAGAGCGCTTTTTAGCAATCTGTAATAGAAAACGTGAGGAAACTCAATATTTTCAAGACAAAAATTTTGGGGCGCAATTCCCACCAAAAAGGTTTTGAAAATATGAATCCGCCATATAGAACTTTTTAACTAATTAGAAATGAAGAGCCTAATTATGCAATTTGATACAAGTTTTCGCGCAAAATTGCTCGCAGATGACACACAAACAATTTTCTTTGCTTGCGGTTTATATTCTATGGCGATCTGCGTGATACTCTTTATATTATGTGGAAATCGCCATGAAGCTGGTTCCTATTTTTACAATTGTTGTCCAACGGCCAGTACATTAAGGTATTTTCCAAATTTCAATAGCCAGGAACCAGGTTAGTTAAATTTGCTATTTCCTATCAAAAGATTCCTGAACATCTTAACGAAGCTTTATTCCTAATCTTAAAAGGCTCCAATCCCAAACTGTACGGCTTTAATCTATAGATTAGTACAATGTTGCTTGATTCGTACACTATAACAGCATAGTTTTGATTTAGAATTTAGATCAAATCTGTCAGATTTGTTTAGCGGTTGCGGTGCATTCAGTTCTAACCATAAAGTTTGGGATGTTTTTATGTAGAAAATTATGTAATAAATGCAGTTCTAAACTATGCCATAATTTGTTTAATAAGTATACGTTCAAGGCGCAAATATGTTGGAGGTTTCATTCAACTCGCAGGCTAGAAGAGGCCTATAAAGTAGTGAAAACCAAGTGCCAATGTAAGTATTGTCACATATTCATATTCATTTTCTCTGTGATAAGCTTTAATAGACCCTCATTAAAGTAATATAAATAATTGCAAGATACGAGGGGCATCACGTTGAGCATTAGGCATGTGTGTAGCAGAATTTACTGATATGAGCGTTTAGCTACCAAATGGTGCCTGGAATATTATCTATCGCACCGAATTTTTAGCAAAAAAATTGCCTCAAGATGTAAATCCCAAGGCTGTGTTTGCCTGTAATGAATTAGATCTGAAGGAAGTCAAAGTATATGGCTTTGACTATGATTACACTTTAGCATGCTATAAACCTTCTCTGGAGCATCTACTTTACAACTTAGGGAGACAAACCCTAATCGAACAGTACAAAGTAAGTCAAGTTTTTATGCAGAGTTTCTACAAATATGTTCGATTTAAAACCTGCGTAGTAAATTTGCCGTGAGCATAAATTTCCTGTGGAATGTTGTGCCGAAAGCATACCAAAATTCAGCAAATAGACTTTGAAATGTGCATCCCCTGGCACAAAATCAACTTTATTAAACTATTTTAATGATGAAAAATTTGCTATAAATAAATAGTTCTGTTCTATGCAATAAAGAAAACACTGGGTTTTTATTTTTGCCACACGTTTTCCTTCCTTCCGTTGTTCCTTTAAAGAATTATTGTGCACTTTCAGTATCCAACTGAAATATCTACCCTTGAATACCGACCGGGCTTCGCAGTTCGAGGGCTTCATTACGATGTGGAAAAAGGTGTTTTACTAAAATTAGACTCCTTCCTGCAAATTCAATTCGGCACCGTTTACAAAGGACTGAAAGCTCTGTCTAACGATGAAGTTCTTCACCTTTACAAGAATCGCATGATTCCTATAGCATACGTCGAAGGAAGTACCAGAAATTCTTCGGTAATTTTTTTTCGTTTGCAATTAGTTATCTAACCACCATTTGGCTTGGCTTAACACTGACTTAGCTAACACCTCGTACGTATTTCTTACTAACATCTCTCACAGTTTCCAGAACTTTTGACAAATGCTCTTATTCTTACGTTATAGTTGATATTACAGGATTCACATTCGAAGATGGTTCAGCTAGCGGACCTTTTTTCAGTTCCAGAAATGACACTGATCTGCAATGTAGCTGATTATTTCGAACGCAATCATATTGATTTTCATCCTGAAATTTTGTTTAGAGATATCAAGGTGGGTGCTATTTAGCAAAGTTAGGCTTAGCAAAACTGTCTTCTATTTTGCAGAGCTCCATTCGCAATTCCCATCCGGTCATGCATAAAGTTGTAGGACAGAATGTGGCCGAATATATTGAAACCAACAATAAAATGCGACCCTTTTTTGATAGGCTGGTCAACGCTGGAAAGAAACTGTTTTTAGTTACCAACAGTCCCTATCATTTTGTGTACGTACACAAAAAAAATTCGAAAAATTATTCCTCACTGTTAGGCAAATTTATCTTCACCAAAAAACTGCATGACAATGTGCTAATAATATTTCAGGAATAAAGGAATGGAGTTATTGGTTGGTCCGGACTGGAAAGATTATTTCGATGTGCTCATTGTCCAAGCGAGGAAACCGAGATTCTTTACAGATGTCTCGAGACCTATTCGTGTCTTTGATGAGCGCAGTGGAACACACATTTGGGACCGAGTTACTAAGCTCGAAAAAGGCATAATTTACTATGAGGTATATAATATATGAAGAAACCCCGAAAAAATGCTGATTTCTCAATTTAAGGGCACAGTAAAACAACTTCAAGAGCTAACGGGCTGGAAGGGCCATCAAGTTTTGTATTTTGGAGATCACCCATATAGTGATCTGGCTGATGTTACTCTAGAGCACGGTTGGAGGACTGGAGCTATTATTACCGAGCTAACGGTGAGGATTTTATTATATTATTAAAGTGTTCTTTATCGCCGTTTGCTTTCAGCATGAAATCGCTACTTTAAATAATCCCGAGTTCAAGAAAAACGCCAATTGGTTGCAAATGTTGACTCAATTAATAGAAGATCATCAAGATTGCGAAGACCCCGAAGAACAATTGGTTTTAGCCAAATGGATGGGCGAAAGAGATAAGCTGAGGTAAGGAATAAATTTATTGAATTACAGGTGCGCCTTGATTGATGCTGTTTCCTAATCACCCACTAAAGTTAACTAACTAAAATAGGAATAAAATTGCTTAATAAACCAAGAATTCCTATTCGGCGTACTTCATCCACAAGACTGGCATTCCTGAGGCAATTTATCAGCATTCTTAACCAGTTTTCGCTCATTTAAGTAACGTTCTACGATTATTTTTTACATGAGATTAACCCAACTACCGGTCGTAAACGCAAATGAGTTTTTTTAAACTAAAAACTCTATGTTTTATTTTTATGGCCTCTCGTCTAAAGCAGTTTTTACAAGAGATCGTTTAAACTCGTTACATATTTTTTGTTTTTTTAGACACGACATTAAATACGTTTTCAATAAACAATTTGGAAGCGTATTCAGGACATACCACAACCCAACCTATTTCTCTCGGAGGCTCTTTAGATTTGCCGATATTTACACTTCAAATCTAACTAATTTACTAAGCTATTCCGTAAACCATACGTTTTATCCTAGGCGAGGAGTCATGCCACATGAGTACATATCTTACTTTGTGTGAGGGATTCCCGCTGCCCACTTTAATTTACTAAATATTCATTATTCATCAAACTCATCCAATTGTTTAGTCTTCATTACTATAAAATCGGAGGTATAGATACATAGTTTCGCTCCTGAATTCGTTTAATTTATTTTGTTTATCAATTTTTTTTAAATTGTTTCTCTAATTGTGAGACATACACGTTATTATTTAGCAAAAGCTTTATTTATGCGCTTTTTGTATGTAACGTAATGAGGTATACATATTTCTTTCTGGAGCATCTATTATACATATTGCCTGTCGAAAGGGGATATAAAAGTATTTTTATGAAACTGTCCCTTTATACATAAATTAACCCCTCGACATGTAAATTGCAGACAATAAAATTTGGTAAATATTTATATATATTTTTAATACTCCCATCCATTCACTTTCACCGCTCTGCGTTTCACATCCAATTCGATATAACTAATGGATTTATTCGAAATTTGTATAATTGCCATGTACATTTTCGCCGCTATTAGATAATTCCAGTATCCAAGCAGGACTGAGTCACTAGATTTTCCAAGCTGTCTCAAACAGATAAAAATAAAGGAAAAAAAACTCCAATAATTGTTTGGTTTTGTTTATTCATTTCGCACACAAAAGTAAAAAATGAATTTTTTCTCAATAAGCCAGTTTTTTTAGACGTTATTTCCAAAAATTTTGTGTTTTTTTTTCAACTCACAGCCTCGCTATATCATACACAATGCATGATTGTGGCGGACGTGCTTACTAAATAATATTAGTATCTCACCTGGACTTTGTACAATCACAAATATAATTTTAGTGTTGAACCTGTACTACAGCAAAAACGACTCCCAAAAAGTTGTAGGTATGTTTGGCATTGCCTGAAATTTTCTGTTCTTTACAATGATCTGTGAGTTTTATTAAGTTTTACACGGAAGTTGTTTTTCTATGAGCTTAGGTGCGCTGTGCAACTCCTTAACTATTTCCTTATATACTAGACACTAAGACAAATCTTTAAGTATTTTTTTAAGACATTTCATTTCCAGTGTAAGATGAAAATCAAATATATATAATTTTTATACAGAATTCCAACAAGGTAGTGTACAATTTTAATTGCATGTATCCTGCCTTGTTAATTTGATTTTTAATTAAATGTAATATACTACAATATCCCCGTCATATCATTGTGTTAATCACTCTATAAAGTGATCCCATGTTAACAATTTTTCAAAATCCTTTATTTTCAAAAATTATTTAGAATTTACTAAAGGGGCTATTATTTAATAATTACAAGATATTCTAACTATTCAATTTATGCACCTACTAAAGATAATCAGTGATCTGCTCTTACACATTAACAAAAATATGATTCAAACATAGAGCTATAGACTTTTTAGTTAAAAAACGATACACCAGAAACCCAAGCTAAAACTATTACTTGTCGAAAATTCTATATAAATACATCATATTACGTCGAATATTTAGAACTGTAGAAAATATTGACATTCTAACTTTCTGGAAAAGTTCAATTGCATTTACAAAAAACAAGTATTTTATAGTTGTTACCCATTAAAGCAAGTACACTGGATGATTCCTAAAAGTACGCCCAAAACTATTGTTACAATAAGCAAATTGTTGTGAACAACGCCATAAGTATAAAGGGAAGAGAATCTATAAAACAATTCTTACTTGGGCATTCGATTAGGAATGAATCACACCAAGACTATCACAAACGAAATTAATATATGATTAGTTAGTTATGCCTCCTTCATAAAATGACATGTTGATCACATTTTTTTTGGTACAAAGAACCGATCAATAACTTAGACTAAAGGAGATTCTTAGTAAACGTCATGTGACTGCAATTGATCACAGATGCCCTATTTGCACTGTATGTGTAAAAACTAAATTTTGCTTATGTAAAAAGAACATAGTTCTGCCATAGAACTTAAAGTTCGATGGTCGTACTGGATCAGTACAATGTGACAATGCATAAAACAGGGCTAAAGGTAAAATTAAGTAGGTATAAATTAAAAAGTGTATCTAACGGCAGGATATTCTATATCGATCTAAGCATTGAACCATCCTTGACATCGTATTACGTATTGAAATATCTGGAATCGATCCTAAATTGATTCTTTTTGCTAATGTCTATTGGAAACAGGACGGCAACATTTTAAAATGATATAGAATAACAAAGCCAATAAATAACCGCATCCTAATCAAATCATTGTGTCAAAAGAACAATTATGTACATCAAGAAAATACCGAAACATTTAGGGTGAACGAGACATGACCGAAGTTTCTTCTAAAGGGGGTTCTCTCTGACTGGAAGGAACAAACTCAGCTGCTTCAGGGTTCAAACTTGAGGAAGTTACTGCACTTTCCTCCCCAGAACTAATAAAAACAAACTTGTTAACTTAAAATTATAAGTTTTGCATAAATCTATACTTTAAATACGCTTATTGTCGCAATTCAGTTTTTCCCGCGTGCCATTTAATTTTCCTTACTGTAATAACTTCCTGTATGCATAATAATGAACAACTGTTTGAGTAAAAATTAGCCCACTTTATCAATGAATCGTCATAATGCAGCAATTAAATATAATAGTTTATCGGTATATACTCAGGAGCTTAAGAGGTCAGACAACTGCTTTTTATATTGCAGCTTAGTAAATCAATGTACTTGAAGTGATACCTTGAATTTTAACAGGAATTTTACTGTATGTATGAGTGTATTAACCATGAAGATAAAACGTTTCAACTGTAGCGTGACTCGTTCGATATATAAATGATACATTAAGATTGATTTGTTATGGATTTGCAGGGACTTAAAATGCAGATAAAAAATTTAAAAAAAATAAATATGTATGTTCAAAGCTCATGGATATATTTCAACATTTTCAGGAGATCAATAGCTAAGAAAGTAGCATGTTTTGCGATAAAAGCAATGCCTGTTTCTGCAATTTTTGTTATTAGATCTATTGATCAAATTCTTTATTTGGTCGCTTTTTCTTCTTTACAAGCAGTTTAGTTACAGTATCTAGATAAAACTGAGGTCCATCCAACGGACTAAATTATTTCATTTGTGTTGTGGATGAATGCCGAGGTTTACCAGAATTTTTGTAAACCCAACACAGAAGCAGAACTGTTGATAAATGTGTTCGAATTTATGCCAAATTTAGGTCATATATTCTTTTAATCCCAGCGAAAAAATATGCACGCTGATTTTTTAATGTATAATTCAAGATTTTTAAAATAGGCCAGAGGCGTGCGAATACCAGCACTGACAAAATTAATATTTTAAATTCTCAATTATAAAACTTTCTTTACGAAAAATGCTTTCATTGGAAAAGCAAGAGTTCCATATTTATGAGTAAATATATTGACCTGAATAATAAACTGCTTATGCCAGAGAAAACTAATTACTTAAAATAATTTTTCATTGGAAATTAATGCACAAAATGGTCTTCGCTTCTATTGACATTCATATAGTTGTTAAAAAATTACATTTTCCTTACAAAAATACATCTGATAGATCTCCACAAAATGTTAAAATATCTCCTGTTTATATCGCAATCTAGGTTTTTTTGGACCCAGAATTCCTTGTTTTCATCATTCGATAGTAATAAATCGGTTATTCCTGGACACCCCGTATAGATGCCAACCCTGATTGCATTATAGAAATTCATACAAAGCGCGCATAACATAACAAGATTGAGAACAAATGAAACGCGTTGTGAATTTCAAAGGGAAATTCTTAGACTCAATTTTATAAGAAAAACAATTTTTGATAAAAAATTTACTGCTGAATGCATTTCCAACCTTTCATGGTACAAAACTTTATGTTCAGTTTAAATCCATACTGAATTTGTACAGACAAGAGAATGTCAAGAAAATAATAATTCCATAATCCCTTTAAGCGTTTTTTTATATAGAAATTTTGAAGAACAAGCAAATATATCGTAAGGCATAAAAGGCGGTTTATCTATATTTAAAATTACAACGATCATAAATATTAATGCATCAATCCGAAGCAAGCCACATGTTTTCGTCGAACGAGCTCCCAAATCTTTATAATGCATGTTATGTATTCTGATATTTGTAAACATGCTTGATATCAGAAACGGCCCGAGTATTCGTATCTCGATAACGAAAGTGTTTGTTTATACGGGATACATAATCGTACAAGTCCAGCGAAGATATTGTAAGATTGTTTACGTGCAGCGAATAACGAAATCATTGGATTATTTTGATAATATTTACTTTGTTTATTTTTAATTACCTACGTTTTTGAAAAATTGCCAGACGAGAATTATTACCTTTCTGAGAATACATTTTGGATCTTAATCCATGATTATTGTTTTCTGGGACTGATATATAATTGCGTTATATTGATCAAGCAAACAAGAAAGGTACTGAAGTACTCACCCTGCTTCTGAGGAGTTGGGGTAGGTATTCACCGTGCTCATGAAAGCAATGCATTCCTCCATAAGGGCTTCTTCCTCCAATCTCTGCATTACCTGAAAGACGAAAACACTAATAGTTTCAAGGAAATTAGAAAAGAACGTTTTGAAACCTACTTAGACTTGCCCAGACACCTCAGGGTCTTGAGCAAGGTTTCATTTATTATATGACCTGCAAAAACGTGTTGGGCAAGTACAGTCCCAGCCAAACCAATTAACATCTCCTTCATTGAAGAAACTCATTTATAACGTACCTCTTTATCAAATTCTTCTTCATTTTCCATCCACATGTATTCAGAAAAATCATTTTCCGGAGGTTCATCAAAATCTTCGACCGTAGTATTATCAATTTCGTCTGTGGTAATCGACAAAGAGTTTTCCTCATACTCGTAGATTCCATTATCGGTAGTTTCATCTATTGTGGGTGGCATTTTCATAGCCTAAAAGGAGTATAAGGTCAATTTTGGTAAGCCTATTCCACCATTTTAGAAGAATATTTATTGTGTTTTCTCAGAGGCACATTTCAGCTTCTAGCGACTTAAACTTACCTTTGCTATCCAATAGTATCACGAAAGTGCTAAAGCTTGAAATTTCGGGTTCGCCAGAACCAAGAATTATCACCAAAATATGCTTTTTTTTTGTTAAATCGCAATAAAAACACCTTCTGTTGTCAACAAGCACGTAAACGAAACGAATATAACGGCAATGTTGCCAGCCTAGACTAAATGATGCCCCACAAGCTGCGATTTAGAAATCTACGACCTTTGTTTTGCTGACGTTAGCAGGCGGAATGGGGACAAGTTTTGTTTATTTTTAGGCACTTAAAGCTGGATGGGAAACGGAAAAAATAATTTAGTGTCGTTTTTTTTCAGTAAAATATGGAACAAGGCGGCTGGAAATGGAAAATAGCAAATCCCGCTAGTTGAGGAAAACAGCCACAATGGGCAATGTTGCTTGCACGGTTTCAATGCCAAATGGAAATACGACTGCTGTTGGTCCTTGTTTAATCCATAGCAGCTGCAAAAGATCGACAACATGGGGTTGCTTTCACTTTTGATTGGGCCTCAAAAATGATTAATATGGAGGTTTGGTTTGACTGAAGATAATTTTTTCTCGTTAAAGTATTCAATTTTTCTTTATACCAATCGCCTAAAATCTGATTGAAACCTAATATTATACAGTAGTCATACCAATGATTTCCCATTGAGGAAATTTGGAATTTTTCGATAAAACTTCATTTGAGTTAAAGATAATTTTTTTCTGTATTTGTGTTCAGACTTCGAAAAACGTATGCTAAACAGCGGCTATGCAAAGCGTTTCCATCCAATTTTAAATAAAATACACATTTAATTCAAAAAATTTGCTTATTTTATTTTTATTACAAATGGACAATTGTTAATATACTATTTCTATAACGCATATACATTTAACGGCGTACAAATGAAATAATTCAAGAAACAATATATTCAATCGGTTACAAAAACAATATATGTATTCAATCGGCGACAGAAACCAAGATATACAAACGAAATCTAAATACAATCGTAGTAACAATTTGCTTTGTAGTTTCTATAATAAAAAGAGTTCAATTAAGTCTTAAACTAAAGTTAAGTGTTATTTGCATGACGGTTGTTTTACTTCTTCTTTTTTCTTCTGTTTTTCACGCATTACTTCTGCATCTCTGAAAGTGAAAAAAGTGTGTTACGACATTCTCGCATGTACGTCTGGACAATGGTAATTACTCAACATGAAAATATTTGAATTTCAAGCTTATACATCTGAATAATTGCGGCCACATCCTATTTCCGGGATACTGATGTATGATGATTTGGCCACTCAACTCGAGTTCCATAAAAACTAACATTGAATGTTAACATTTATAAATTTGAAAGTGAAATGAAAAGTGCATAATCTATTAACTTTTGTTGCTTATTATCATTTACACATTACACACTGATTGTTAAAACGCGGTTTCTCGAGAATATTAGCTATTGAATATGTACTTTCGAGTTTTGTTTCTCAACATTAAATAACTAATTTATTTATAATTTACAAACAGCTCTATAAGTCTGACACCAATAATGAATCACGCGATATCCAAGGTGGTCTAGTCTCTCAGAGCAGATTTGTTATGTGCCTAGTGTGTAATAAAATATGCCATAAACTCTATTGGAAGAATGCTTCATTAAAGAAATATTGACTGTTAAAGTTTAGTAAAACCCTAAATTGATCAATTGTTCTCACTGTTCATTCTCACAAATAAATTTGGACTTACAGAACATACAGCCTTTGCAATTTCTTTATCAAAAAGTATACAGGGTGGACTAGTTGTGAGTCCACCAATTGAGTTTAACAATTAACAAGATAGTAAAAAACAAAGAAGAATGACAGACTGAAAGAATGGACACTTAACACCAATTAATAATATCAATTTTTTTCTGCTTTGGTCCCCGTGCATATTTTATTGATAAGCATTCTAATGGCGTAGTTTAGATTGTGTTTTTCGTTCCTTTCAGCACAAATAATCTCAAGCACCAAACGTTTAGTAATTGTTTTCCAAAGTGACATGCACTTGAAATATATTCCCATCCGCCTTATCTTCGCTGCTTGGGTTTAGGTATCTAGAAATTAACAAAATCATATTGATGGACCTGGAAAAAATAGTACTCTTTGGGTTCGCTGAAACGACTCCATAAATAGTTTTCAGACGATTAACGAAATACAATGCTGGTGACGTTTTTCTATGTGTGTTTGAATGTGCATTCTGACACATTCCTGTACCTTTTCAACCAGTTTACTTACCTAAATTTTCTTTGTTCTACCGTTAGGCCGTCGTTCTTCTTGCCCCTGCCCTGCTCTTGCTGCTTCTTTTGGTTTTTTGCCCTGGCGAGGTCACGTTGATTTCCACCTATGAAGCAAGGGAAAAGCTTAGTAAAAGGATATTTTTTCAAACAGAACTTCCAACTTACGAGTCATTTTTTCAAACTAGTTGTAAAAACGTATACAACAGCTAAAAAATTAATAAACAGGCTTCCGAAGGCCGCAGCCTTTTCAAGAATTTGTCGACGATACTTCTACTCGCTTAAACTAAAATAATTCAATACGAAGTGGAAAATTGCTAGAAACTCAATGTTGCCAATGTAAATCTACACGGTATAAACAGCTTGATTCCGTTCCGGTCCAAGCGGGCAGGTAAAAACCCTGTTTTTTGACGGAAGGAGATTAATTTATCAACCTTTCCATAAAATCGGCTATTATCCAGACAAACCTTTTTATATTTCAATAAGTGAAGAACTCTGTCTGCGTTGTTCTTTTTGCTAGTGTTATTATGTGATATTTCCCCACTCTGATAGTGCGGTAAGTGCGGCTTCTCTCATATAGGGAAATCAAATGTACTGAGCTTGGCGGGCCTGATTTAGAAAGTGTTGACATTTACAATGGTTGGCAATTTTTAATAAACAATGGCGTTTACAGATTAGTATGTGTCCGAAGCACTGTTTATTTTTATTATAGTTTTACATAAGTCCTCACTCATTTAAACTATGATTGAGGTTTACATTGACAATAAAACCAGTAAATTCGCCATTGTAACATATCAAATGAACTAGTTTTAAGACTTCAGAGATAATGTAAAAAATGGCATCAAATTCTTACAGGTATTCAATCAATATTTTATTAAAGTCACACCCCACAGGAAAATACTTTGCTTTCAGGGTGGAATGGGTGGAAATAATAGAACCCAAAACTCAGGAGCATATGTATGCCAACTTGGCTACAGGAGAATGTGTTTGGGATCCGCCAGAAGGTGTTCCTGTGAAAAGAACAGATTCAAACCAATGGTGGGAATTGTTTGATCAGAAGACAGCGCGGTTTTATTATTATAATGCCACTTCGCAAAGGACAGTTTGGCATAAGCCCACCAACTGTGACATTATTCCCTTAGCCAAATTGCAAACTTTAAAGCACAACACGGACTGTAGCCCTGCAGTGACAAGCAATCAGTCTACTCAAACAGGTCACCCCACTGAGAGAGGCCAGGCATTAAGCTTGTCTGCTAGTACTCCTCAGTTACGCAGGAAACCAAGTGATTTATGTAGAAGTAGTAGTTTTAGCCAAAGAGGGGCTGAAGCCCCGTTATACTCCAATTGGCATGATTCTCATTTGCTACCCTTAGAACACTTTTTGCTTAACAACAGCAGAGAGTCTGATAGTGATCATTCAGACAGTGGCAGCGAATCTCTGACTGGTATGTTACACATTTCATCTATTTAGTTGGATTATAGAGGACATGCTTGTTGAAACCACCTTTTTAGTGCATGATTCTTTAGTAGACAGGTCTCAAGAGTATCAAAGCTGGTTTGACTGCATTTACAATCTTGTAAGTTAACTTTTCATTTACATGACATTTATTATTCTAACACTAAACACTGCAATCATTTGCTAACTTATTCAGATGTTATATTTATTATTGAGGTCACTTCAGCTGGTTATTGAAGTCGACTTGACTCAGGCTCTTGATTTAATTTGCTCCAATTATTTCATATTTATTTTTGCTGGAATTAAAATAGCAGCTGATCTAATATGCCATGGCTGTTCTAATTTAGATCTGGTAAGTATATTAAAGATCACATGCATATTACATTGTAGATAAGAAAGCTGTAAAACGTATTCAAATCAAAGCGTTTTTGACGCTATTTAATTATCTATACGGGGTGGTCTACAAGCTCAATAATCAATTTGTAAAAAACATCATTTTAATAGCAACTAATCTTAGGAGCAGCGCCTAGGGAAAGCAGGTCTTGTTTTTTCTCTAAAATTGATAGTAAATATTTGTTTATATGTTTACCACTTAGGTACAGATATACTATCAGTCGGAGCTAATTTTAAATGAAAAGTAAACTACAAGCATTTTTTCAGCTAATATTGCTTTCTATCAGCATCTGGCGGGCCAAGTTGGTTGTGAGCTTATAGAACATTTATACGGTCTGTATCAGGTTCTTTATTAATTTCTCCAGGTGCTTTTTTAATTTAAGCTGGTTTAAAATTGAGTTTTGAGATTTTGTGGAAGTTAGAGCAAGTTTTTGGAGCGACAAGTCACAAGTCGTAGTCATAGCATATACAGAGTGTTCCGTAAAACAATTGTTTTCTCTAGATAAACAGGGTCAAAGTCAAATCGGTTTCGCGAAACTACGAAAGCCACTCACTCGATAGTTTTAATGTAAGTTTATTACTTTCTCTAAACAAAGCTACTAGAAAAGCAATATTCTTTTACCTGACGGTTTTTCGCAATAGGTTTCGTTTCCGAAAGAAAAATTGTCCCAAAGGGTATCCATACAAAAACTTGTAGCTCATCCGCCATACTATCCAGATATTGTCAAATCCGCTTATTCTTCGTTAAAAAATTATCGTGGGATAAATATCGACAGAAAATCATAACTTGATGTAACCATTTATTTATGGGACGCTCTGATGCTTAAAAATGATCGCGCTAAATATATAAAAAATCGTCGAATTCAGTAATAAAATTCTTTAAAAAAGTGTCAGGCAATATCAGCCAGCATAGATTCCTTTTTAAAAAGTAGGGTGGCATGTGCTTATGATTTAACAGGAGATTAATTTCAACTTACTAACCCATAGCGTTCAAATAAATTACTTGAGCTAAATGCTTAATCAGTTTAAGGCCTTATGAAATTGTCATAATATGTTCTTGTAAAGGTCATGAACCTGACAATGAAGACTCCGATCAATCAGAGGGCAGCTACTTACCTCATAGGCTTTCACATAGACAAGTGGAGTACCTCAACTTGCCAACAGGAGTATCAACAGGTATTAGTCAAGTTTTTACTAGGGTTGCGTATGTTCAAGAATGAAAAGCGTTATTGGTGTCAATAGTTTTAAAGACTTGTAGAATATGAAAGCTGCCCGTTTTTTCTTATAACAGGTAGCAAGTGTAGACGGTGAAAACATCTAGGGTTTCTTTCCAGTTGGGCATCATCAGTGGCCTAATATTTGGCAATTAACAACTTTATTAGCAATATTATTCCGATGTTGTTTTGTATATACGGAGACCTACACATTTTCGTCTAAAACTTATAAAACAGCAATATTTTTTCCAACTGAATCCGACACTCAACTTTTACAACTTTGCATCAAAGAAACACACGACATTCATGCACAGCAAATAAACTGAGAGCAATTGAGTCAATGGTCGCTGTGTTGTTGTAGAACCAAGAGAACGAGATCGGGAATGTCCGCCCACTCCTCTCTTAAAACCTCTTGCCGAGCCTCCATTGCAGCCAGAAAGGGAGGCGGATATGGAGAAATTTGCAGCTGATAATTTAAATCTGGGAGGCCGCGGTTTGTTCAGAAGGAAAGCTAGCGTTCGTGATCTTCTCAGTTGGACACAGAGAAGTTTGCAACGACCTTTATTGGCATCTAGTAAGCCGGTCTATAAACAGGCTCTCGAAATGTTTAGGTAGGACTTTTTTCTAAGTTTTTGTGTAGTTAAATAAATAAATTTCTAATGTTTTCAGGCAGGTCCAGATGTACATGGGCGACCGAAAGGCTCGTCCAGGTTTTTCCTTGAATTCGCTTCTAATGGAAATATTGGGCACAGCCCATGTACAGTCTCTTCTGCGCGATGAGTTGTTTGTACAATTATGCAAGCAAACCACCGAGAATCCTAGAAGAGAATCGTTGTTGCGTGGATGGGAATTGCTTACTATTGCTCTCGCTTTCATCCCGCCTAGTCCAGTGTTCCAGCCTGCTTTATTAGGGTACCTGAATAGACATAGAGATCCTACCTTTTCGAGGGTCTTTCCCGATGTTAATCGGTGGCCGATACATGTTCAAGTAGGTTTGCTTCTTGTAGCCAAAAGCTATATATTGATAAATGTGTTTCTATTCAGGTTAATCATTATGCTACTGTAGCATGTCAGAGATTGGAGAGAATAGGAGCAGGAGGCAAACGCACAGCTAAAAGACCACAGACGGACGATATTGAATCAGCTAGAAAACAAATATTCCAAGCTAGTCTTTTCGGAAACACTTTGAGGGAGGTCATGCAGCTCCAATCAAGCCGATGGCCCAATAGAAGGCTTCCTTGGCCCCAAGTGGAACTGTCGATGCAAGTTTTGAAGCTACAGGGACTTCAGACTGAAGGTATATTCCGAGTTTCGGCTGACGTGGACGAAGTCAACAGACTCAAGGCACAAATGGACAAGTGGGAGCTTAGTGAACCTAGTGATGCCCATGTTCCTGCTAATCTTCTAAAACTGTGGCTAAGAGAACTTTACGAACCTCTCATACCAGATTCTCTCTATCCTGAATGCGTTGCCGAACCCATGACATCTCGACGGGCTTGTGATTTAGTTCTTCGTTTACCCACTTTGCATAGATTAGTATTGTGTTATTTGATCCGGTTCTTGCAGACCTTCAACAAACCCGACGTTATCCAGCATACCAAAATGGATGCCTCGAATTTAGCTATGGTTTTTGCCCCCAACTGCTTGCGATGCATGGCTAGTGATCCTCGTACCATGTTCGATAATGCTCGTAAAGAGATGGCTTTTTTACGCTGTCTTATACAGGATCTAGATACGGATTGTGTTCGCGACATGATCTGACCTCAAATTTTATTTGTGGATTTATACCATTATGATTATTGTATTATTTTTTATTATAAATAATAGATATGCGTCACGTGTTTTTACTTTTGATTTTACTTCTTCCTTTCATCAACTATTTCTTTCCTACACGATTTCACAGATATTACCCGTTTGGCCGCGAATCGCTACAGCCCCAACTTCAAGGTGCTGCTTGGGTCCCAGGAAATGCCGCAAAGGAACATTTAAAGGTATGAATATTACATTTTTAAGTTATTTTCATTCCCGTTCCGCATAGTTATATTGTGTTAAAAACGTGGACGAGATTATATTCATATTTCTAAACGCAGGGGTGTTAGAATTCCCGTTTACATTTTCGTATAGTAAGTTACGTATTTCATAGCTGTAAATTGCGCTTTTTGTATTCTTTATCATTTGCATCAAAAGAAATATTGAAAAATATAAAAGTTCTAAAGATATACAGGATGGCTCACTTTAAAAGAACGAGTCAAATATATCATCAGATATGCATTTCAAAAACTGTTTTTAATATTACAAAATATGTTAGTATACATTTAATAATATGAAATGTTACCTAGATTTTTTTACCTAAAGATATTACTTTTTTATTTGGTTTGATTCGATTTAAAGCATAGCAGCCAGAATTAGCAATTTTAATAAACAGCATTTTATAAATATGTTACAATTATCAGTTACATTGTATATTATAAATGTAAATATAAAAAAATAACAACGAAACAATGAGAAGACTTGACCCTTTCCGAAAACTTTTTGAATAAAGTATTCCTGACTCCGGATCCTGATGAGTAACCAGTAGTTACTTTTTTCCCACCACTAATACCTACTGTATCGATTTGATTATGAAAGAAAAATGCGACTTCAGAAATTGTAAATTTTCGCTTAAATTTGAATTCATTTAAAATAAGTTTCTTGACTTTGAATACTCCCTCTTGACAAATCCTCATCTGCAAACCCTCTTTATACTCCAATAATAATTAATCACTCTAAACTAATATCAAAGTCAGTTAGTCGTTTGCTTTTGCCGATACCCCACATCGTATTAGCTGGTTTGTTTAATAGGACTGGAATCTGAAATGAATTTAGTCAAAAGAGGAATTTATAATAGAGTGGTCAAAGTATAAATTGCTGCTCGCAAGCTTTGAGCATGGCTCGTCACAATGTGTCAAAACTTTCGAAAACTTCTCTAATACACGATTCGATTAAGGTTTAATGGGATTAACAGCGCAATTTAGCAGATGATGTGAGTAATTAATGAATGTAAATTGTTTTTTGGTAATTAGAAAAGTTGCACTATCGGCTACCTACTTATTTAATTTTTCAGTTTTTTAAAGGCAAAATCCTTGTTTTCTTTAATTTGATTTAAGTATGAAATCTCGTTTGATCTAAAACTTATTGCCGTGACATTTTTAATCAAACAGGTATGTATGCAAAGTGAAATTTCCGTCGAGGGGTTTTTAATTTAAAAGTCAAAATTGAAACAAGTCTCAAACGCAAAAGCCAAAATTAAAAATGTATGACAATTAAAAGTTGAACCTTAATTAGTAAAGCGACAAAGTCGAATGGGGGTGCGCTTGTCAATCTGATGCAGGAATTCAAATTAGGAGAAACAGGTGATTTTGTCAGCCCCTGAATGTCCGTTTATTTGGCACTCAATTTTAATAATTTGCGATTATTGTGGCTGTTGTACGCCAGAGGTTTAAACCGCGGTTATAAAAAAAACGCATAAAATATTGATTTTGCCATGTATTACCACAGAGAGGTATATTTTATTCAAAGCTACCAGGTTTGAAAAATGAAACTGAATTTTACAGTTGGTTTCTTGGAATGATATTTTCTTAGTTGCATTTTTCTTATATCGATGAATGAAACGCTGCAAATAGCTTCGGCTGCAAAAACACTTCTGAAGAAGCTAGCGAAACGTCAGGACCAAATTCCTATCTACGACGGCCTAAATACCTCGAAAATCAACAGATGAATGAGAATTTTCAGTAAGAAACCATTCTTCATCTTCAGAAGTGCATTCGCTTCGGCTGCGAGTACACTTCTGAAGATGTTAACCATTCGTGCTAGCGAAACGTCCGGACCTAATTCCTATCGACGACGGCCTAAAAACCCGAAAATCACAGATTCTTCCGGATTAATATCTATTAAAGGGAAGTTTGTTCGAGTCAAATCATTCGAATACTTTGTCCTTTGTCATTCTCAAAATGCAATTATAAAAGAACTCGTCACACTTTTCAGATTCGAAATCATCATCCAAAAACACGATCTAAAGCTTCTTGAAATCGAGACTTTTTTGAAAAAGTTGCCTCATTTCTTTATCGATAGTTGACTAGAAAGTCAGAAAAAAAGGCGAATTAGTTCTCAATGGAATGATGTAAAAATGAGCGTTTTTGCGCATTTTGCTTCCGAGAAATGAGCAAAAACGGGAAGGAAAACATGAAATTTTGCCATAATCTTCTACCTAAGTGTCTCATATTTACATTTCGCTTTCTGGGTCAAAACTGTTCGAATTTCGTCACTCATGTTGTTATGACTGAATCGAATTTTCAATTCTCTATCCAACGATGCCAGAACGAATTATGTGGCTTAAAGCGTCATGTTTGAGCTGATTTTGCAACTAGAAAAAAACACGCAAATCTAAAATTTCTTCAAAGCAAGACTTATAACAGAAACCTGCCAATATTTCCTTATCGATGGTTCACTTTCTAAAAAGACCATTTAGTTCTCTCTGGAATGATGTAAAATTGATCGTTCTTGCCCATTTTGCCTCCGAGAAACGAGCAAAAACGGGACGGAAAACATGAAATGTTGGCATAATCTTGCACCTAAATGTCTGATATTCAAATTTAGCTTTGTGGGTCAAAACTGCCCGAATTTTACACATGTTATGACTGAATCGAATTTTCAATTCTCTATCTGCCCTTGGACTACCGATGTCCGTTTAATTAGCTTTTTTACTTAAAAACTGTCCTTGATCGACAAATTTACTGCAGAATAACATTAGATTATATATTGAAGAAATCGTTTCTGTGAGTTTTCACTTTTATTATCGGGTGTTTGAAAGGGCGAGCGGACTGGTTGCTGTTAACTTCCAGAACCGCAGAAGAGAACATCATTTATTTTCATTAGTTTGTATATAACAGTAATGCACTTCTTTTGCTAAGTTTTACTCCCGGCGTGTAAGTTCCTTTCAAATTGATGGTCATCATTTTGCGGGCTATAGTAACAAACAGATAGTTATTATAAATATATAAAGATTTATTTCCTGGACTGCGATCAATACCTTCAAGACTGACAAAATATGGTAGTTTTAACGCAACGTGAACGAGAGTGAAATGCGTTTTCGTTGCTCTAATTAACCAGGGGTTAGCTCTAATGGAAAATGTATCAAAGCATTTCACATATTCCGATTAACATGGAACATGTGAGCGTATTCTCTGTATTAAGAGGCGCTATCTCAATCTCACGTTTGAGAGCATTGTGCTTTAGGCCCAACGAAATTTCATTATTGCAGTTTGCAGTTTTGATCGAATTACTGTCATAACTGGTAACATTTAAATCTACATCGCGTATTAAACAGTTTGGGTATTAGACACATTTACATCTGATTACGGCTTTACCGGTATATATTTTCATTTTTATTTACAATAAGCTGCGTAAATCTTGTATCCTCCGTTAATCCCAATTTCAATGTATTTGAAAGTGCGCCTTTGATTGACGAAAATTTTGTGACTTTGATGATTCTGCTTAATTTTCAAATGAAAATAATAAAACGAGGAAAATGAAAATTTTTATTAAGAGCATAAAGTTATCTCTTTGTTGCGAATGGCAATTGAATTCTTGAACGCAAACATTGTTTGATGGTCTTGTTTTTAATACCTAAACTGAATCAACAGTTGAGTCGCAGAATTATATTTTTCCTCTGTTATTAAAAATGAGTTTGTTGCCTTGAAGAGCTTGTTTGCACAAATAACTGCGGGCAGGCATGCCGCTATAAAATCGTAATTGAGGGTGAAATGCTGCTTTAGTTTATTGGACACATTCATTTTCCCGGTGGAAAGAGAACTAGCATAATAACGATAAATATTCCAAGAGTTCAGAGCCAAAAAGCTCGGGCGTAGCAAAATAAGTTGTTTTCTAAAAGAACGCGTTCTAACTAGATTTATGTCGCCAAATTATTAACTATCCCTAACTTTCATATAAATGGTTTTCGGGATAAAAAACTAGAAAAGAAGTCAGAGAATATTGGCTCTGAAGATGTTCTGAATCTAATGCCTCGAGGGTTCCAGTAAGAGCATGTCATAGATTAAATTATAGCGAAACGCCGATAAATCGTTCCACTTTCACCTAGAATTATACTAAGAACCACGATTTCTCGTAGATCCATTTCGTATTAATTGGTCTGTAATATCCTTTGAAAACGTCGATTTCATCGGAAGTATTAAACCATTATAAATTGATTCGTTGCGATACTTTTATAAACGTGCTTTTTTGTATTTGCTCTAAACTTGGAATAATATTATTATAACCAGACTTAAAAATTAATTAAAAGCTCCCAGGATGGCTTTATCCTACCTCAATTTTCCCCATCAAGTAAATTTTTCTCTAAGCTGATGGTCGCTTCAAAAACACATTAAGCAACCGCGAAAATAAAAAAACAATTTCAATAACGTGAGTTTCATTATGTAATGCAAAATGAGATTTTCCGGCAAATCTTCGGAATTATTCAAACCACATAAGCTTCGGTGGGAACAAAATAATATTCCGGCGGGTCTAAAATGTTTAATTCCGGAATGATGTGGCACATACTCAGGTTGCCAGCTTTAAACTCATTTTACCCACGGTAACAATATCATATTCTAATGACAGAGTTCGGAAATGTAGGGTCGCAGAATGGTTTTTGTCACCATAGCGACGTTTCGGATATTTTCCGCATTGTTTTCAATCATCGCCCTGAACGGAATTAGATTTACTCGGGTTTCTATATATGGAAACTCCCGTTACAGCTCCCACTTTCCTGTTTTTAGTAAATTTGTAAATTTTCTGTAGAACCGTTTCGTGCTCTTGTTGAATTTGAGAAATACGTTTTATGAAGTAAAAAATGCGTTAAAATGAGTGATCTCCCAAATGAAACTCTTTGTAGTGCTCAACTCACGAGAAAATAGGCGTGGCCCAGTTTCATTTAAATTTCATCAACTGGTCAACTTTTGCTTCGAGTTCCTACTCGGAAACGCAATCTTCAACATGTGTTTTTGCATCCCGCATGTCTTTTCTTATCAAACATGAGAGCGCAAGCATTTTTCTAATGCAATGTTTCCATTTTTCCGGGGAAATTGAAGACTTTAGAGTAGCGGAGATTGGTTATATAAAAGCATTTTAAACCTTTGCTAAAAATACCGGATGCTTTTTACGGAAATGGGGCACATTTTGCAATTGACGAAATCAGTTACATGTTCCTGCTTTGCAGTCTAGACGTTTTTCTATGCATGGAAACTGCTATTTTCGTTTGTGCATGAAGCGGGTAAATCGAAAAGTTTCAATATTTATATACGGAGTGTCAAGAAAAATTGATGAAATGGAAATAGAGTGAAAAGTTTATAGACATTTTTTAGTTGTCTGTTACTTACAATACAATTATTTTCCAAACAATTTGTGGAAAAACTGGCTCGCAAAGTTACGAAATTGTGTTTTGAAGGCGTGCGAAACAGCAACTTCAACACCCTGTACCTCGGTAACGCAGTGTTGGATTCAAAAACTTTTCCAAGAGGATCGATAATAATTAAAGAGTTAACGTTTTTATTCAACCTGCATAAATATAAAAATAAATGAAAGCGCAGGATTTCTGCGATATCCAAACCGTAATTTGCAGCGATCTATTTGTGTAACAAAATTTCTTCTAATTGATTTCCGCTCAATGAAGCTTAGACCAAGAATTGGCGAGTTGCAAGCATTTGCAGATTTTGCATGTTGAATGAAAATGCTAAGGACGGTTTCTCTAATTCTCCTTTTATTTGGGTCTTTTTTGTGGAAATTGAACACGACCAAGCAGGTTTTGTGAAAAGTCCTTATAATTGGCATAATTAAACGCGTAGTAGGTATGTTTAAGTGGTTATTTAAGATAAATACGCGAAGTCGGCAACGAAAACTTGCTTTTTTCGGACTCTGTTGAGTTTAGGGGCTTTATTTATGCTGAAATTTGCTGTGGTGCATGGCAAAATGCAACCGCTTTGAATTTGTTTGATTCAAAGGCCTGAAGTATTTCAAGACATTCAAAACTTTTAAGCCTCAGCGCTTTATAAAAAATAATTCAGTAATTTTCTAGATAGATTGATAAGCACAGTCTGTATATATTTTTTATACTTTCTGATACGTTAGGGGACAGTGGATGTTTTCAAAATAAATTACGAGTCATTTCATAATAAATATCGTCGTATATTTAGAGAACACGCATCATTAAAAAGGGTAAAATTTGTTACAACAGTTACAACCAATTTTACATGCATCATTGGAAAAATGCAAAATTATACAAAAGGAAACTGAACAGTCTAGTGCTATGTTAATTGCACGGATATTGGTAGGTAGCTTAAAAAAATTCCAACCAAACAAAACATTTCGCTTAGGTCTTGAGTAGTAGCATTAAAAGCACCTACTCGCATTATATACAAGATATAACAATTTACTAGCTAACTACAAGACTAGGATCGCTCGAGTGTTTAGTGATACTGGGCTTGAAACATTGATGGCAACCTGCAACAGTGCTGATAATCCAAGCAAATTGAACAGTACATAAAAGTGATTATCAACAGGTTACTATAAGCCAATTTAGTAGATATTTGATCAATGAATTTAAGTTGTTTAATTTAAATAAATCAGCCGCAAACGTTACGAACAAGTATTACATGTGACAGTGTGAGTGACTTTGGACGTTACATCTTAAATAACAATAAATTAGAATAAATAAAAGTGGGAGTCATGCTGGCAACAGCATTGCGTTTGCTGATTGCGAGCACAAATCTTAGATGGCCTTTGAAAGATTCAGACCGACACAAACCCTAGATCAGAATGGCCGGTTAGGAGGACAAAATGCTCACATAATCACTTGTTTTACCTGAAATTCTTTGGAACCTTCAAAAATAGTTTCTAAGCAATTTTCACAGCCTTAATTAGCCACTTTCACAAATTCGGAATTGTCGTATCCATGGGGATTGATGAAATTCGTAGCTAGTCCCTTTCGGTCAATAGCGCGTACCCGTACAAACAAGAAAGCAGCAACTAAACTAGCTACGATAAGAACCAAGAGGAGCATCACTAATCCAGCGACGAAACTCGGAACAGACATGCAGATTGTTTCAGGGTCTTGTGAGGAGGCAGATTGTATTACAACAGTTTCGTTGTTTTGAGCTGCGTTTAGCGCAAAGTTTACATCTCCCGGGGCTACCACTTGTATGATTCTACTCGTGTTAACATCAGTCATCTCTTGAGCTTCCCGTTTGTATACGTGACTAACTACAAAGTTCATTACTTCGGGACTTCTTCTTCGCCTCGCGCCTTGAAGTTCAGCAGGCAAGTTCTCTACAGATCTGGGCCGGCCTCCCAAGGTGGCCAAATTTCCTTCCAGCTCGTCATTCACGTTGCTGCTCTTCCTCTTAACTGTGTTGTATAAGCCATGATGCCCTGGAGGTGGAGGAGGTGGTAAATGAATCTCATTGCTGCCCTGGCCATTCACTTGTGGGGCTGGCGATGAAAGGTTGGGTGGGTTTGAGGTCGAAGACGAAGAAGTTTGAGCTTGAGGCGCAGGAACCACATCAGCGTTCTGCTCAGAGTAAGCACCAGTTGGTCCTGATGGATGTCGAGGATCTGGGAATGCGGGCGGCAGCCCATATTCGTTGCCTGGAGGTGGACCGTATTCAGCCCCAATATTCGCATGTCCATAATCGCCTCCACCCAACCCATTTCCTAAAGCTGGTGCGCCATATTCCAAGCCCAGTCCATGACCTCCGCATTTCGGCTCCGGACAGTTATATCTGCACACTTGGATAACACACTGGAAGTGCACATTCATGGAATCGGGGAATTTGAACGCTTGGAAGTAGGCGAATGATACAACTGACGCCGACGGCCCAAAGTTCTTTATCTTCTGGAACTTGCTCATAATTTTCGGCCGGACGACGCATCCGTATTGATCAACCAGTTGAATTGGAGCGCGTTTGCCATCGTGCGCCACACAGTTCCGGACAAGCATATCAAACTTATTTTCATCATCCTTAATGGCCAGTACCATTGTCATGGTTTGCCCGATTTTCACTATGCCCGAAACCTCAGAAGCCCATGGACCTTTCCCTACTTGAATTTGCATCCAGCATTGCAAATTATCCCCAAGGAAATTAGCTGTAACTGCATGCAACATGTCCACTTGGAAGGGCCTGAATGTCACCGCCTTCTCATAGAAATCATACCACGTACACCTCAGCTTCCTCGCCTGATCCCACACTTCTTGAACATACGGATCGTACTGGATTATAATGGTGTTCTCCACATAGCTACCACTTGGAGTAGGTCCACCGTAGCTAGCCGCGTTGTGGTTAGCCGACGAAGACATACCGCAGCTATTCAGGAAAATTTCGAAGGTGGCACTCAGATGTCCAGTGCCGGGCTTCAGATGCACACAGTGCGGGTCGCTGTAGAACCCTTTCGAAAATATCATCCCGTAGAATGGGCGATCGAATTCGATGTTGACGCGCATATGAGTTTTCTCGCACTGAACTTGCAGGTGCTTGATTTGGGGCATGTCTGGAGTAGCCAACGGCCATGGATCATCTCCTCCACCTCCTCCTCCTCCACCTCCTCCGCCTCCTCCTCCCAGCGCTGCCAGCGATTGAGGTGCGTATCCAGGCCCGGATAAGGGTGGCCCGTAAACGGATCTGTGTTCCAGCGGTAGGGATGCTGAGTCCGTGAGAGGAGCATCGCAGTTTATTCTCTGCAATTGCGGAAAGAGCAGCAACTTAGAAAGGTTCATAACACTAATTTAGACTAGCATAGGTAGAAAATACAGCTTTCTGTGTAATCGCTGCAAGGAATTGGACTACTGGAGGCAACACGTGGTGGCAAGGATCGCATTAAATAATTCTATCATGGAAGGAATTGAATTGGCTCGAATGATTTTGAGCAGCCTCATATTCGATACGACGCGAGACTTTTCCTGGGGACACTCAGGTCGGAAAAAATGCGGAAAACCATTGGCGGCAAAACCTCAATGCGAGGCCAAACAGTTAGAGGCAAAAGAGTCTAGTGGGAGATTATTAAGATGAAGAAAATATTTCAATGCTTTTTTGGAGATTGGTGACTCAACTAAAACAGAAAATATGTGATAGTCGGTAGTTGGGTCAAGTATTTAATATGCAAGGCTTGTTCTCTCCTCACGCTCCATTCTTTTAAGAATCATCACCCCTTCGGTTTCCTTTAGAAAATAGTAAAAACCTTTCTCCAGGCTTTAATGAGCTTAAATATTGTACCAAAACCAGCTAAAGTCGACGATTTTCAAGAAAGACGAACCAGCGTTGCAACGTTTGAACATGAATAAGGCTGGAATGAGATTCGGCATCACGGAGAAGTTCAAAGAGTTAATGTAAAAAGGCAAAAAGAAAGTTGATTAGCTATTTGACGGGTCTTGATGTGTACCATGTACCAACCATGTAGTCTCCCAGTAGTATAATGGAGGAAGAGTTAGGAGAAGCTGAAAAAAAATTTGAAAGTGAAAGTCTTACCCCTAATAAAAACACTGCCAATGTGCCAAGTATGTTCAGCATCCGCGACCTTGTCATGTTGGTTCCGCCAGGTTAGCCGGTTCCTTGTCTGCAATCAAAGAAATGAAAGCACCTTGAGAATGAATGGTTCCGAGCATGGTTGCCACTCTTAATGCGGTCTTCTATGTTCCAGGTTAATTGCCACAATATAAATGCAAATTTCTAATTGTTTTCACGATACATCAGCATCGTCGATCAGATCCAAGCGGATCTGCATTTCTCCAATTATATTTTCACCCAAAAAACCACAGTAGACATCCAGTATAACAATCGGAATTTTATGGCCAAAGTTTCCATTTATCTAGTGTCTGCAAAACTCTGTTTTTTTATTCAGCAAAGCAAGTAATTTCAGTTTCCATATATGTAGACAGGATTATATGGCGGTCAGCGCGAAAGCCATGCAATTATAATTAACACAGATTCAATGGATTTTAACTGGCAACAAAAAGACATGCATATTCAAATCCATGTTGGAAGCATTAAAATGATTTTGCCTAAACAGGGGCTTGTTTACTGTAAATAGAGGCTTTATATTGCTCGTATATATCGACGTGCGAAGCCCCCCGTTTAGAGGATGTTGAAAAAATGCATATTTTTTATGATTGATTTTAGTTCAATGTTTCAACTAAACATTTTTCCTTTTTACTCACGGAGCTTTGATTCAGCTGCTGAACTAAAACGTACTCCCTGACACTCAGGAGGATTTTCACTTTAACTAGGAAATAGTACCGGTTTTTAATGGCCACCATCAACTACTTCCTCGATAATTAGGATTATTCACATACACCGGCAACGGTGGACTGAACAAGTGGGATCTTCAGCATCTACATCTGAAGAAGATGACCCACTGACACACTATGTAGTAAACACAGTTCTAAGGCGACAGACAGACTATGAATGCACCGATTCGGACGAATTTACGAGCTTTTCTTTCACCTTTCTTCAGGCTGTACATTCGCGACTAGGAGGTGTTTACACGTCTAGTTACGAAGATTCAATTTAAATAAATTTGCCGATTTTGTTAAAGTCAGAAGACACCTAATTCCTCGAGTGTTTGAGGCCAATTGTATGAAATATTCGTAAACAATTCAAACTTTAATGAAGATTAATGGCATGACACCTGATTTTCATTGGCCTGTTTAAAATCAACTTTTCAGCAATTATTTTTATTACCTTGGCGATCTCTTTAATTGTGCCTGTCCAAGTCTGCTTGATATACTTCTCATTCTGGAGAATGTTGAAGAAAATTAGAAAGCTGCTTAAAGCTGGAATATTTATGAATTATCCGCAGATTGTGTGTTTTCATCAGTTTATTGTACAGATAAACATGTATATTTCGTAACCGACCACTTGCTTAATTAGCACAGGGGATAATTTGGAGTTGGTTTGCTAAATAAACCATCCTGCGATGTTTTACTCACTCATAATAGCTCCATTCAAAGTTTTCGTTTAGCATTTAGTTATGTTCAGATCCTTTGTACTCATTCAACTTGGTATCAAATTTCAAAACTCACTTTAATTAAATTTTAACCTTTAAAGCCTCGTGTGGACGTATGTTTAATTCAAAATTCCATTTTATCTTGTACGGTGAAGGTTTTGTTGCAGCTTGCCTGCGGATGGATGAATGGATGTTTGTCGAATAACTTCACGAATATTTAATTATTATTTCACAGTTTTTAGTAAATCAGTAATTTTTAAGGCATGGAAGCCAAAAATAATTCGTTTCATAACTGTCCTTTGTCCTTGTTAACAAGTAATGCAATCCATTTTCCTTATTTGCTGCATCCGTTTATATTGTTTATTGTTTTAGTAAAACTGTCGCGAAACAATGCCATTATTATACCAAAGTTTCACCAATGTGCGTTGCATTTGTTAAGCTATAGCCAAATTAGTCGGTTCTACCTGGTGATAAAGAACAATAAAAAAGAGAAACTACAAACAATTAACTAAGCATATAGGCGACACAGCCACATCGCAACGCCCTAATGACGTGTTAAAACAAAAATGGATTTTATAATTTGTTAATCTACTTTGAACGGCTTAAATGATAGTTTCTAATACTGCAACGGCATGTATGTAGGCTTTTTATGGTATCAGTTAAAGATATTAATTTCTCCAGGCCGTGACCGTAAATAGAAACTACTAGGTACTGGAAGTAAATCGTTGAAGTCATAGCGTTGCGTTTATGGGCTACAATTATTTTTTCAAACTGGGCAAGAAACCATTTTTTCAATTGGGGATTGAAGCTTTAAGATCCTCCATGGAGTCTTTTGTACAATTCCACCAGATCTTATCAATGTTCCATTAAACTATTTTTGTGAAAGGTGCTGAATCAGTGCTTGCCTTAGGCTTGTACTAGTCCGGTGCTGTAGTGTTAGATCAGAAGACGGTGCACTTGTTCCACTTTCTACAGCCATAGGAATCTCGGTCGATAATGGAAAATAGATAAGGCTTCGCTCCAGTACTTGCATTTCATTTCTCATTAGTGCAGTGGTACTGGACGGATTTTGCAAGGTCGCTTCTCTATTTCGACATAAGTAGATCTCAGCAGCAGGTACTTAATGTCTTCTCATTACTCCCATTCGTTACTTCTCCATCTCTTTCAGTCAGAAATCTAGGAGAAATTATTGCTTTGCTGATCTTCTGATGATTAGTACATTGCGCTATTTAATATTTATTAGAAGTAGTAGTATTTCCTGTTTGTGTCACTTATTTTCGGCATTATTGATTATTGAAGTTCTTCACTTCTTCTACGCTGCTGTTCCATTGTTAAGTATTTTATTAATTAGTTGCACTAACTGAGAATACTGATCTTCCATGTTCATGCAATATTAACGCACTATTCGGCGTAAAAAATGGATAACTTAGCAAGTACTGTTCTGTTACAGTAATCCTCTTCGTTTGTTTAACAGGTTCATTGCAATATGGTACGGGTACTGTTTAATGGTGCTCTACGTGTATAACTGATTTTATACGTAATCAGTTTGTTTGAAGACAAGTTGTAAAAATGGTTTAATTAACTACATTTTCATGGTTCTCAGCTGCAGTATTTCCTCTCTTACCAATTAATTTAAGTTTTCAGATTGGAAACAAATACTAGAAAACAAATTTTTATTTCAGTGCTTTAAACGTCAAAAATGTTCCTCAATAGTGAACTCAAGTGCACAAGTAACGGTTTATTGTACTAATTTGATGGTATAAGTAAATAATAAAACGCACGGAATAGAGAAATGCACGAGAATATGAATAAGTTGGTAACGCTGAGTGATTACCACTTAATAGAACATGAAATAGAAGCATTAATTGATACCCATGATAGTGAATTATTTAAAAAAAAATCATATAATATACATGGATTTGAAATAGCTGCTTTGTAATTACCTTGCGGATAAGTATGTCTATGGCACACATTCACGCGCTGTGAAGATATTTGCCAAAATTCAGCTTTCGTGTCAGCCCCAGTTAATTAAACAATTAAACGTGTTTTGATTCACATATGTATTGTTAAAATTTGGCAGTTTCTCTTTAATGGTAATTGACATTCCTGTAGAGTTACCTTGTAATTTGACCCATAGAACGCTTGATGAAATTGCGATCCAATTCTTTAAGCGAATGTTCAGTTTTTTAAGTATCTTTAGCTTCAACTTTTAAATCAACTGATTGGTGTTCCTCTTCCAATGAGCCTTGAATGTGTAATCAATTAATATTATTCACATACACGAATTATTTTCTTACTGTTTGCCTTTATTGAAATTTGAAGACCTGAATTTAATTCAAAAATGTTTGTAGTTTTGTTTGTTATTTTCGTCTCTTTCAAAAGTAGATGTTTAAATCGTAGCAGTTGTAAAGGCAGTAATTAATAACCACATTCCATTCAGCAGTCAATTGAAATAGCGATTCGCTTAATTAATCAGGCAAATTACTTTCACCAGAACGTATCCGCAAGCAAAGACAAAAATAAAATACTTAAGTCGACCACCAAATTGGGACAATTTATTGAATGTAGATGAAAAGATGCGCCATTTAAAGAGATTTGCTTGTTGAAAACGTGAAGCGGAAAAGAGAAGAGCGTGGATGGCCGGAGGCGAAGATGAGAATGAGCAGGTTCATTATCAACCGACTGACCAACCATGATTATTTATACCTGTTGCATTAATGTTTATAATATTGCGAATGCAGTCGAACGCGCACTCGCATCATGGTAGTCCATTGACACACTGGCTTGCTTTCCATCTACTGTGTGCTCAATATAAAATCTTATACACAGCAAGTATCGATTGCAATTTCACCGAACGCATTTTTACGTATTTTTATAAAACCACTGTTTTTCAGATGGAAATCTGCATCAAGGGACTTTGGGCAAGTGAACAATTTGGGCATTTGGGCATTAAAAATCTAGTGCTCGATAGCACCAAAACCATTCTACAACTTTCATGTAGATTTCGTGTGATCTTTAACTCCAGCTGATTTTTTATGTCTTGTAGCTCTACGTGTTTATTTTGGGGCGTTTAAATTTGTTATTTCCAGTTATTTTCCCAATCAATTAATGAACTTATGAGACATAAAGGCCAAAAAGTGAAATAAATTCGTTTGATACTCACTGCATGTGTGACAATTATTTCTGTTAGGTTTATTAACACTTAACACAGCCAAAAAACCGGTACTAATATTTTTAAAACGGCTATGCGATGTACATAACCGACCGTACTTAGCGATAATGAGAAGAAATAATACGCGGCAAACTGATTTGGAATAATATATGTCAACCAATGGGACTTTGTCAGCTACCGGTGCGTAAAAACAGTAAAAATAGTTGCAATAATTGGTGCCACTGTTAGCACCGCGAACTTACCTCGAGATAATCCAATAGATAAAGAGTCCTGCGAAAATGGGGCACAAGAACAAATGCAATCCTTATCGGCACTACACTCGATTCCGATCGCACATTACGATTACCCACAGACACGAAATTTCGACGCACCAGCTTTTACCAGTTAAAAGAAAAGTAATACACTTTAATATGTTCCGTTGGTTTTATATATCGACGTGAAAGTTTGCCCCACTCTGTACCATGAAGACTTCAGAAGCATGGGTGTTATGAAGAAGCCTATACCTGTGTCCGGATGGAACTCACTCAACACTTCGATGAAGAAATTCAGGATTTTGACGCATCGCCCTCACTTTCTTTTGCCTTGGTTTGTTGCACAATTGGTTCCGACTTGTCACCCTAATTTACACTTTCGTTCGTCATTGGACTGTCCGGAATGTTACATCAGTTTACCAAATAAAACTCTAATTATTTCCTCACGATTTATTTGATTGCAGAATCCATTCAATTGTCTTGGTTTCTCTGTGTCTGCAGCAGATTATTTGCACGCGGACCTTTTAGATCGGATTCATTTTTGTTAGAGCGCGTTTAGAGCTTGATTGCCAGCTAGAGCTCAAGAGTTGCACCAGATTAGTTTTCAGTTCAGTTCGACTGACTCATGAATCGACAAACACCCTGTATAAATACATCTCACTGAAAATCACTTAATTCCCTGAAATCGTGAACTTGGCAACATAATTTTCCTTCTAATGAAACTATTTCTAACAAATCAGCTGAACATTTTGGTCCAAAACTTGTAGATTATGCCTTTATCATTATAGATTTCCGTGACAACAGCGTGGCGCTAAATCACTCGAATTTTGAGGATGATAGCACTTTCATAGCTTCCGGAATTGATCAATGAAACGCTCGTGAAATTTTGCAGCTGCGCCAACTAACATACATGAAACTTAATGATAAGCAGACTAGGAATATGCTAGGAAAGAAGTTCTGTTGCATCCCTGACGGAAGTTGATGGGAATCGGAAATGATGTTTCATGCGGTTTTTGGGTTAAAAAAATTTGTGGATTGAGCAGGCTTCTTTGAAGCGTTAAAAACCCTAAAATGCAACCAACGCTGGTTACAAAGCTTTGGTGGTACCCTCTCAAGTGCTCCAAATTGCACATGTATCCCTTTCGCCTTATGTACTTGGGTAACCACCTGTTTTGGGTAATTG